GCCACTCGTTTGAGGAGGTAGGGGCGGGAAGCGTGTAATTGCACCTCACGCCCTGGCCCTTAATCCCACACATGAGGTCAATAAACTGCACGTTCGACCAGCTCGCCACCCACTCCCCCAATTTCCCCCTCTTCTGCGCCTTCAACCCGTACGCTTTAGGGGGCAGCGCAAAGTTCACCGGCTCGAGCTGCCTCTGCTCCGCGAGCGTAATCTTGGACCCATTATTCATGGCCACAAATCTGTGACGCTGAAACGAGCGCCAGTTGTCCTCCTTGTTCTTTCCGCCGGTAGCCACACCGCGCCAGATGACCGCGTCTTCTTTTTCTTCCCACGGGATATCCGCCCCCTGGGAGCCCATGAAGCGCTCCTCTTCGTTCCAGTACATTGGTGCCGGGAGGAGGATCTCGTTGTTGACAGCCAGTTTGGAGCCGCCAAACATGGGAAAGAGCGTTTTTGTCGCCGAAACGGAGAGGGGCTCGACAAAGACGCCCTCGAGGGCTTGGAGGTCCGATTGATGGCAAAAATCGGTCGACAAGGTATAGTTGGAGACATAACCCTCCGTCATGTGAGGCAGCGCAAAGGACGACTTGATCAACGGGGTGCGGTTAAAGTCAGTAATAACAGGCGACTGTCGCGCAAGGGAAGTAGGCGGGCACCCGCGGCGGGCGATCAACCAGTAGTGTTCTGTCGCAGCATCTCGTCAGCATCATCACTCTCCAAGCAACACCACTCCCCATGCAGATGAACCTACTATTCCCCTCCCAAACCTTCTTCGGCGTCTCAAAATCCTTCTCCGGCCCCTCCCCCGGCTTAGCCAACTTCTCAAACTCGGTCACCACCTCCTCCGCCCTCACCATCCTTTTATCTTGCCCCGCCCTCCCAACCAGCTCATCAATTTCCTCCCAAGGCACAACCAACCTCGGCTCATCCATCGCATTAAGCGCAATATCCATATCAGGCAACAACCCCTCCACAGTCCCAATCATCTTCAACCAAATCTTTGTCCAGAACCAATCACTCCCACTACTCGCCTTCCCATCCCTAACCTCGATCCTCATCTCAAAATCCCACGCGTCTTTCCTTATCCTCTGCGCCTCCAACGCCCAAGACGGTTCCAAGTCATGGTATATCTGATCCCAGAAATCTTCCACAATAACCGCATTTTTTTCCTGCGCAAACTTAAACCACTTGTCAAACCCGGGCGGAGGGTGCCGGCCTCTACGTTGGCGGTAGGCAGCTGCTGCTTCGGCGATGGTGTGGCTTTGTCGGGAGATCTTGTTTGCAAACTCTTTTTCTGCCGAGTCGATGAGGTATTCGATTGGATGTTTTTGGGCTCCTAAGCCGGCCCAGGGACGGCGGAAGTTTTGGGGGGAGGCAAAGTCTGAGCCTGGCTGTCCCGTCAAAACGTAGAACACGCAGAGGATGAGAGCTGCGGGGATGAGGTAGCGGAGGAAGGCTGAGGGTCGGCGGGGGAAGGCCATTTTTGATAGGTAGGGCGAGGAGGGAGGATATTAGTTTGGCATAACCGTGTAGTCCGGGTGTAGAGGGCCGCGATGGGAGGGGGCAAGAGGTTCGCGGCTCCTTCTCGTAGGCGGCTAGGATTGCCTCGGACGCCGGTACGCGCAGTTCGTGATCGCGGTCGGTCGGTCGGTCGGTTGGGGGTTGGATGGAACAAAAAGGTCTGGGGAATTGGGTTGCGATGGCTTGGTAGGTAAAATCCGGGGTCGGTGTCAATTGGAAACGCCGTTGATGCGTGGCGCGCCGTCTTCAAGTTACAAGGCAGAAACAACAGGTTCGAAATGCCACAAATACAAAAAAAAAAAAAAAAAAAAAGAGGTATCGTCGTCGGCTGCAAGTGAATGCAGTGTCACGGTAAAGGAGTGTAGGAAAGAAATTGGTAACGGCGGAAGAAAAGTAATAAGGAGTGTGTCATGGGGCAGGCCGATATGGTTGGTAGGTCAAAAAGCTGAGATGCATGAGATAGGGGCCCGGGGGGCGGCGCGCTGCTCGTCTGCTGCAGGCTGGGCCGTTGGCTGCCAAGTTCACGCCCCATAACCGCAATTCTGGAACGCCCCAAAAAAAACCACGCCCCGCATAAACCCTGGCTTTCAGCTCCCTATTGTTTCAATGGTTTGCTTACCTAACAACCCTGGTCCCGCTAAGCCGAAACTTGCCTTGGCGGGAATTTCCATGATGATGGTCATCATGTTTTTGAGTCAAGTTGATATATAGTGTACAAATCAAATATAAGGTATATATACATTTTAGAGATGAACAACATCAATCGAACATGTGCCCCAGCATGGTAGCCCCTCCTCCATTTTCTCCATCGACGTTTTCCTCCTCCCCCTCGCCCAACCTCCCGACCAACTCGGGAAAGCTAGGCTTAAACGGCCACTGCCACCACCTTTCCGCAAGCTCCACAATCTGCGTCCTGTTCAGTGCCCTCAGGTCAAGCTCACCTACAGGGCCCTTGAGCGGCGTCCCTCCCAGGGCAGGATCGTGGAGGCTCCTCATCTTTTCCGCCACGCCCCGGCCTGAGCCAGGCCACAGACCCTCCACCGCTTGTGATATTGGCGCAGAGGCTTGTAAATACAGACTCCGGATGATAAGGTCCATCTGGTCAAACATCTTCGACCCATGCTCGCATTTGGCTCGCAACGCCGGCTCCATCGCCCTGGGTTGAATGTCCAGCAAAGCCCCGTCACACGCTGGCAAGAACTCCTCCGGCTGCACCACCAGCGGCTCAAACTGCCGACGGTCCCACATGAGCACAGGTCCTAGCTCCGGCGGCTGCTTGAAAGCCCTCAAGTTGTCTCGCGCAACCAAAAACTTGCTTCTCGAGATCGGGTCGATGCTTTCCCACTGCTCCTTCATTTCGGCCTCGAGTTTATCAAACTTCTTTTGAGCAGCTTTCGCCAGCTTGCCCTCCTTCTCCTCTTCCAGAACTTGGAGCTTCAGTTTCGTCAGCTCGTCCAGCTTAATCAACAACTCGTACAGGAATTCTTGCTTTTTTTCCGTCTGCGTCTTTAACCACGTATTCCGGTGCAGGTGGTCGTTGTCTCTCGTTGTCCATGTGCCCTCCTTCGATTTCGTCTCCTTCAATTTCTCCCACTCTTCCTCTCCCAGCTCATATCTTGCCGCAAGCGCCGGCTTCTGCTCTCCAGCCTTAACTGACTTTCCCTCCTTTTCCAGCTCCAAACAGCTCTTCAACAGCGCCGTCTCTCGCCCCTCCGGCACCTTGAGACCCGCCTTTCTCATCCTCTCCAGAACCTGGCCCATACCCTCCATGTCGATGTGCTTGTCCCTCCTGTAGATATAGTTCTTGCCACCATTCGGGTGATCGACTCCCGCCACCTCGGTGACCCAATCTAGCGAGAGCTCAGCCTGTATGGCCCCCGCCTTCCTCCTCTGGATCGTCTTGGGTAAATACTGCGCCTTCTCATGTTCATCCACCCAAATCAGCATCCTCACCAACCCATACTTCTGAAACAACCCCTGCAGCCTCACCGAATTGATCAACTGATACAAAATCATGGCCGTCATGCTCCCCATCCTCCTCCCCCCCACCCTCTTCTTGTCGAGAGTCATCATGTTCATCACCACAAGCAACGTGTCGTTCCTCTCCGGCGTCTCATCAGGCTGATAGTTCCGCACCGGGTGCGCCGCCAACGCACCCTTCTCCTCCAACGCATCAAACAACGATGCCCAAAGCGCCCACGCAACCTCCAACACCTCGACCCCTTCCCTCTCTACCAACGGCTTCAGAAACGGTTCGTAAACCTTGTAGTCCTCCTCCACGAGCACATGCTTTCTAGGCTGCAGCAAATCATTCAGCTTTCTGCTCCACAAACCCGCCCCAGGGTTGATATCAATAATGTCACACCCCTTGTGCCTCTCTAGCAGACCAGGCTTCATATACCCCAACACATCATCGCAGAGCTTTTCCGAGAGGATATTCACCCTCTTCACATCAGCGTGTTTCCTCATTTCTAGCCTCCTCTGCTTCGCGGCCGCGGTGTTGCGCCGACCCCACATCCCCGTGTCAAGGAGCGCATCGTAGAGGTATGTCGTGTTGACGCAGTCAGCCTTGAAAGTAACTTCCGGTTGGGGATGATCATATCTGACGGAGCGTCTGACGTATGCTCTTTTTTCTTTTGGGGGTTTCGCGGGGTCTTTGGGTTTGTTTTTGGATCCAGCTGGGCGGCCGCCGCGTCTGCGGGCTGGCTTTGGCTGTTCTCCCGAGGTAGCGGGCTGTGACTCTTGCTCAGCTTCGGGGGACGGTTCGGCGTCGCGGACTTTTTTGGGCCTGCCCCGCCGTTTGATGGGCTTTTCGTTGTCCAAGGCGCCGAGGAGCTTTCCAAGAGTTGATGCAGTGGTGGAATCCTCCTTTGGCAAGGGCGCCGCTTTGGGTGATGGTTCGGCATCTGTCTCGGGAAGAGGTTGCGCTTCCAGTTCAACAACCTTCTTGCGGCCGGAGCGCTGTTTTGAAAGCTTTTCGCTTTTCAACGCTTCGAGGTCTGGATACACTAATCTTGGGTTGTTGTCTATATCCGCGAGCAATTCCTTAAGGGGAAATGCCCTTTCGTTCTGGTGCACTCGTTCGATGTGTCTTCTGAGGTTCGGCCTCCTGGTGAATCCTTTTGTCGCATATTCGCAGGTAGGAACGGGGCAAGCAAAACGACATGGTTTGTCCTGCGTGGGTATGTTCTGTTTTTGTGCTTTGGGCATGGGTTCGGCGGCGACATGTTTGAGAGGTACATGGTCGAGTGGTGCATGTTCGAGCGGTGCATATTCGAGTGGTACATGTTCGAGCGAGACATCTTCGGTGAAGCGCGCATAATGTCGAACTTGGAGGGGCTCTTGGAATTGGAGGCGGGGCGATGGGAGGCGAATGCGATGATGGCCCGCGGCGATGGTACCGATCAAGCGCCTGGTGGAGAGGGAGCGCAGAAAAGTTGCCTGTGCAACATGGCGGACTGGTAACATGGGCGACGTGAAAAATGCATACGCAGAATTGGCGGATCCAACCGAGGGGAAGAAACGGTCTTCGATGTTTTTTTTGGTCCCCAGTCTGCCAAAGTCAATCAATCATCAAGGTGTTTTGCGCCCCACTTGGCGGCAGGTACATCACCGCCGGCCGGCAACGCTCTTGGCACGGTTATCCGCCGCATGCATGTTTGGGGGATAAGGGTTCGGGTTCTTACTAAACCTTCCATCACCAAGAAAGCCTATTCCCTCTACCATCCAACTCGTAAATTGTACCTAGCAGCCGTCCGCACCATCGACCCCCTCAAGCCTTCCTACGTTGTCCTCCGGAGCTTTCCTTTCCACAAAGTCTTCCGAGTCGTACAACCACAAGAGCAATAAATACAGCACGGCGAGTCCACCGCCCACCAAACTCCCTATCGCCCCAGCACTCAGCAAAAATCGTTCCCGGGCCTTCGACGTCCTAGGAATCTCGTAGGTATATTAGATATGGATGTGTTCCTTGGGGTCCTTTGCGCCATGCTCCACCAGGTTTCAACTGGCATTATCTCCGTATCTCAACTAGCATCGTGGTGAGTGCCGTTGTTAACCCCGGTAGGACTGTCATACTTATCGTATAAGTCAACTGGGAGTTGTCGTGGCCGATATAAGAATAGTTCGATGACAATTCCCACCTGTGCTGCCACAGCATTTTTCAACGTCGGTTCAAACTTTCACCATTAACCATTCATTCTCCCCGTCATAAAAGACATACCGACCACATGGCAAGGAGGCCGCCATATCGACCGGTCACCGCCATTTAAACTTCCGAAAGTCAATTCCAAAGCCACTGCCCAAGGCCGAGATTTTGTAGACCCTTCCTACCCTCACTCCGCAACCCAGCACCTTCCATCCAACTGACTGATCTCTGCATCCTATCTTAGTGTCTGCAGCTAACCCAAGAGTGCCGTGAAAAGGACCGGCTTCAGCGTCGGCGAGGTACACTCCTGCGTCAGCTCCATAATAAACTAGAACACCAGCCACCGTTTCTACCTTCACATTGGCCTTTGCGCTGAGAACGTCGACATTTGCCTGCTGGATCTCGGCCCCGTTTGTCTGCGCCATATGGAGTATCGAGGCCGTGGTCGAGGCACTGTGGGTTTGAAATATGCAACCGTTCGTATCCGTACCAGCGCCGGCGTTGAAGTAGAATGTGGTAACTCCGTCGTGATCTTGGTTCACCTGCACACGTGCGTTCGGAACCTCAAGTTGGGAATACGCTTTTTCTAAGGATTCGATTTGCTTCGGCTGCAGCAAGCCATGAACCATAATCCCTATTCACTGTTCAACTGTCATGTGTGCTCACTGTCATGACCCCCTGCTGGTGCATCATACCCACAGGGCTAAAGGTTCCCGGGCTCACCATCGTTGGAGGTTAAAGTAGGTCTTGGGAAAACTTGGATGTTTTGACAGATGGCTTGGCCTAAGATACAACTTGGACGACAGCTCAGATATGTTGAGAAGCTGACAGGAAGAATATCCAACTTGGTTATCCTGCTCGTATCATGTCTCTTATATAGATCGAACTTGGGCGAGAAAGATGCCTATTGACACTGAGACCCGATCCCCACCACGCCTGCCCACCACGGCTTAACCGCAACTACCCTAGCTTTGATCATTGCTAAGGCGAAATGGCACGAAGGAAATAGAAGCAGACCAGAAGTGTCGAGCCGCCAAGCATCCGTGGCATTTGATAGCTACCCACGAGTCTGCAAATGAGCAGGCTCCAGCGGTGGTTGCTGAGGGGTTGGGCACCAACACACACGCACTTGGACCCATTAGAAGGAGGAGTTTCCGGCCTCTCCAGTTCACCGTATCAGCAAATTTAAGTAGGTAGTTATTGGGGATCCATGATTTGCTGCCCCAAGTGAGACTGAAGAGCACCTGGCAGCAGCAGGGAGAACTGATTGTGTCGGGCACACATGCCCGACAGTGAAGCCGACTCTTCTCCTGATAATGTTGTTAGCTGACGCTCGCCAACTGTCAAGATACGTCCATGACTGCGTGTGAGGAGCACACACCATCTGGGACTTTCCAACCATATCCACACCCTTATTTACTCTCCTGGGCAGCCAGTTCTCTTTCCTGTCTTTCTCTCTCTTCCTTCTCCCTCTGCGCCTTGGCCTCCTCGTACCGTTTGCGCTCGGCGGCTGCGCTTTGTTCTGCGATGCGGGCTATGCGGCGAAGCCTTTCCTCCTCCTCGGGTAGGATCATGGAGGACATTGTGTATGGCTTTGAATGACAGGGGCGGCGAAGAAAGGTGCTCGGCGGTGATCAAAGGTTGTGGATGAAGGCTTGAACATGTGAAGCGACATAAGGCTGCAGTCGCTTTCAAGCGGTGTTTAGTGTTAGAAATCAAAATATATATACGGTAAGGTAGGTAGGTAGTCTTGAGCACGTTGGTACCTCAGGTTGATATGTTCAGGTAGCGATTCTGGATATCTTCAACCATCGACGATTTGTTGTTGTTGTGGTGGTTGCCTTATATTCTGAAGAAATTTGTGAGTCGGAAAAACTATCTCGTGTCATGGTAGTCATTCGGCGCTAGTTGGTGGTTGACGGCAAGATGCCCAATAAGGCGTCAAGTCCAAGGTCGATTCAGCGTGGGGCATGCCACATGATGGATGTACACGTGGCGTGTGAGCAAAATTTGTGTGACCCCAGAGCTGTTCGGCTGTCGAGAGGAGTGCTTTCTCCTACCATTTTGTTTTGCAGCTCGGTCACTTGGGTGGTGCAAAGACAAGAACGTAATTCACACTATTGACCAGAGCACAGAGCACTGCAATTCCACTCGAGATTCATTTACAGTGTAAGAAAGACGTCTAAAAACCAGGTGGCGAGCGTCGGGGTTGTATTCAAAGACCCCTATCCACCAGACCAAAGGTCTTAACAATAGGTAACCTCCGTCTACCTGCAACTGGCATTTTGGATCGACTTCCCGTTTGTGTGCTCCCCCTCATGTTCTGGGTCATTCTCCCTTTGCTCTTTGTTTGTCACCTGCCCCTTGGTCACGGCGATCTCTGCTCCCTGACACTGGAGCTCTTGAAGAAGTTTCATCCTTTGGTCCCCAGTCCATGACCCCCCCCTCCCCCCCCTTTTTTTTTTTGAAGGGGTAACATTGTTTTTGTGATTATGATGTTGAGGCAGATTTTCGGTTTAGAATTGGCTTATGGGATCTTGTTCGGGTCCGCGAGTTGAATTCTGTTCTGTTGGACTCCTCAGATACAAGTTGTTGAAGGTAGATAATATTGCGCGGGGTGTTGGACTGTGAGAGACCAAGATAGAAAGTGTGTAAGTCTGTATAACAAGGAGCCTGACCAGCCCGCCTACATCTATACGATGGATATTTGCGAGCATCTTGGGATCGCAAGCTATGGATCTCTTGCGTCCTCGACGAATGACTGTTAACTCTCATAGTCCTGAAGGCTATTTGAAACGGCTTCTTGAGAAGAAGATCGCTGCCATCCCGTCTTTCATTCAGATCACGTGTAGAACCTTGAAACATGCCGTTGTCGCGAGGTAATTTTCCAAGACCTGATGGCAGAGTGGAGCCTTTGAGTGATATCACCCGCGGCATCAATGGCGCCAGAAGACGACTCCCAACTGAACTTTGCTCTTCGTTAGCACCAGGTGAGTATCACTTTGCCAACAATACGCCACGCAGCGAGACAGGTGAGAGATCACGATACCTAGGAGCAGGACAGATATCACGATTGCTGTCACGCGAAACCTGAGACCCTGAGGGCTATCCTAGTATCTACCTATCTACCTATATAAACCTACCATACCTATTCAAGTAGGTAGCTTTCTTTGTAGCTTTCTCCACACCAAACTCAACATCACTGCGTTACAAGATCCAAAACCTGCATCTCACAGATCACATCATACAAAGCGCATCAATTCATCAAGGAACCCTATACCTCCTATCAGCCATGTCAGACATACTTACAGTCATGGTTCTTGAGCCAGCCATCAACAAAGACAAAGAAAAAACCAAGCAGCAGTCGTCGAAGAGGGACAGTGGAAAGTCCGGAGAAAGTAGCAAGAGCACCTCTAGCAATGCTACGGGCAACAGCAGCAAGGGAGGGGGTGGCGGGAAACAAGACAAGAAACACTAGGGCTTTGGAAGGTACCTACAGGTTGCCTGCTCAGAGATCAACAATTAACCAGGAAGTCCGTGAAGAATGGTCTCGGGGACACCAAGCCTTCTCAGTTTGGGTCCTCTGATTTTCTCTCTTGGCTTACACCAATACAAACAGTTCCAAATACTCTTCACTCTCTTCCGTTCGCTGCTTCCACATGTCCCCGTACAATCACCTCATGTTCATCTACGAGTATTGACCCAAAACCCAAATTTATGTTTCTCCCCAAGACGGGGATTCAACAACTAAGGGAGATTGGCCCCCGTTAGTAGAACATGCCATTCTTTTGTGTCCCCCATGGACACAAGCCATGAAGTCCGGTAACAGATTCCAATATGGTTCAATACATCGATATCTTGACTTGTCTAAGGATTCGTACTCGGTGTGATGTGGTCTAGAGTGGAGAGTTGTTGTTTGTATGTCCATGTCCTGGACGTTGGAGTTTGATCTCTAAATAGGTAGGTACAGGGATTCCGATCGCCTAGGTATTTAGCCTGTTCCTCGTTGAATCAGTAAAAATAATATACTTCCAAAATATCGAAGCGGCCAAGGCCAGTTCCCAATACTATTCTACAACGATAATGGTCGTCTAGCTTCTGGTGTTGCCACCAACCCTACCCACTCACTGGCAAAGCTCTAAGAATGGTGATCGCATAGAAAATGCGTTGAGATAAGCAGATAACATTTGGCAGGCGAAAAGAGACTTAGATCCATCAGTCTACCTGAGGAAGGACCATCCCACATGGAGGTTGATCATCGGTAAGCGTTGTCCGGGACGTCAAGCTGCCCGACTGTTGGAACCTGAGCCATCACCTCCAACACTTCAACTCACCATACCGAAATCTCGGGCAATATTCTTGCGACCTGATCCTCTGAATCAGTAGGATACACTTGTTACAGCCACCTTTCAATGCTTATTCCACGACAGAGACGAAAGTATCGGCCGTTCACCATGCCCTCCAGCTTTCTCAAGACCCAAAGATGACGTCAAGCCCGATGCTCCACGATGGTCTCCAGCTTCATCTCCACCTACCCGAGGTCATTGACCGCTCGCACGACGCAATGGGAACCGCGCCGATAATTCCGGACTTTGTCAGCACACCAGGCCCCGCGTAGCAAGCGACCCGGCAAACCTCGTGGCGTCGGGAAGCATCTGGCCCAAAAATACCACGAGGAAAGCAACCATCTGAGGTTCAACCTGCATCTGTACCTGCCTCCCACCCGAAGAATGGGTGGCGGGAGGGCACACCACACGTGCGTGCAGGTCCTGGCGATATTGCCCAGCTGGTGACTTCGGCACGAGGGCTCCATCCAACCTGATGATGTTACGCGACGGGGGCAAGTCCATCACGCTGCCGAGCCGGCAATGTTCAACTCGCCAACAACAGGCTGAATAGCACCAGGAATCATAACGGTCGGATTGGTCTAGATTTGGTCGTATCGCGGGGACGAGCCGTTGGGCACAGTGGATATGCTAGGGTTTATGGCTACAAAGAGACCAATGACGGCCCGTGAGTGGTGGAATCTGACCCCTGGAGGACGTTGCATCTTGGCAAGAGGGGGAGATGGGGAAGATGGGGGGACGACCCAAGCAAGTGGATGTCTGGATAAATTGAGTTGGAGAATTGCATCCAGGGCCGATGCTACTTTCGACGATCCATTGCTACGACGGCCGGGCGAGCATCAGAAGTTAAAATGTAGGTGCCGCCGTCAGTGTAAACATGACTTGACGCACCCTCAGTCAGCACCGCCCAATCCTTCAAGATGCGGAGTTTGTTGTGGCTCGCGGTCGTCGGCCTTGCCGTCGCCGAAGACGGTCTCGCTGCCTGGCTACGATATGCTCGCGTCCCGAGTGCCTCCCGCCATCTCGGCAAACTGCCTTCTGCCGTCGTCACTCTCAACGCCACCAAGGGATATCCCGTCCATACCGCTGGACAGGAGCTGGTGGACGGCATCGGCGGTCTTTTTGGCAAGAAGTTGACTGTTGCAAAATCAAAGCCCAAGGGTACCACTGCCACCGTTGGCACCGTCAGCGCATACGTCGACAAGAACCCTTCTGCTGCCAAGGGTCTGCCCGACCTCGTCGAGGATGGCTTCTACCTCAAGATCTCCAAGGGCAACGTCCTGATCCTCGGTCAAAACGAGCGCGGTGCCCTCTACGGTGCCTTCCACTATCTCTCCGTCATCGCCCAGGGCAATGTGTCCGACTTTACCCTTACCTCCAACCCCGATGCGCCAGTCCGATGGGTGAACCAATGGGACAACATGCAAGATGGTGGCACTCATGGCAGCGTCGAGCGTGGTTATGGCGGTGACTCCATCTTCTTCTGGGACGGACACATTCGCGAGGACCTCACCCGCGCCGGTCAGTACGCCCGGCTGTTGGCTTCCATTGGTATCAACGCCGTCGTAGCCAACAATGTCAACGCCAATGCTTCGATCCTCACCCCCGAGAACATGGACGGTCTCGCTCGCATCGCCGACGTCTTCCGCCCCTACGGTGTCCAGCTTGGTCTCTCGCTCAACTTCGCCGCTCCTCAGCTTCTCGGTGGGCTTGATACCTTCGACCCCCTTGACGAGACTGTCGTCAACTGGTGGCAGGGCATCGCCGACAACCTCTACAAGCGCATTCCCGACATGGCGGGTTACCTCGTCAAGGCCAACTCGGAAGGCCAGCCCGGTCCCATGACATACAACCGCACCCTGGCTGATGGCGCCAACCTGTTTGCGCGCACTCTCCAGCCCCACGGCGGTATCATCATTTTCCGCGCTTTCGTCTACGATCACCGCAGCTTGAACCAGACTTTGGACTGGAAGGCTGACCGCGCCAACGCGGCCGTCAACTACTTTGACGGTCTCGATGACAAGTTTGAGGACAATGTTGTCATTCAGATCAAGTACGGCCCTATCGACTTCCAGGTCCGCGAGCCTGTTTCGCCTCTCTTCACCCACCTTCGCAGGACTGGTGCCACAGTTGAGCTTCAGATTACCCAGGAGTATCTTGGCCAACAAGCCCGTATGTGAAATCTCATTCTGCCCCCTTGTCACGTCACTTCCTAACAGTTCTCTTCACAGACGTCGTCTACCTCGCTCCCATGTGGAAGGAACTCCTCGACTTTGATCTCCGCGTCGACAGCAAGCCCTCGACCCTGAAGTCCATCGTGTCTGGCAAGCGCTTCGGCCAGAAGCTCACCGGGTACGCCGGTGTCGTCAACGTCGGCACCAACACCACCTGGCTCGGCTCCCACCTGGCCATGTCCAACCTCTACGCCTACGGCAAGCTCGCCTGGGACCCGGAGCAAACCTCCACCGGCATCCTCAAGGAGTGGACCACCCTCACCTTCGGCCACGACAAGCTCGTCCACGACGTCATCACCAAGATCTCGATGGAGTCCTGGCCCGCCTACGAGGATTACTCCGGCAACCTCGGCATCCAAACCCTAACCGACATCCTCCTCGGCCACTACGGTCCCAACCCCGGCTCCCAAGACGGAAACCCCTGGGGTCAATGGACTCGCGCCGACGATGACACCATCGGCATGGACCGAACAGTATGGAACGGCACCGGTTTCGCCGGCCAGTACCCCCCTGAAATCGCGGCCATGTACGAGAACATTGAGACCACCCCCGACAACCTTCTGTTGTGGTTCCACCACGTCCCGTACACCCAAAAGCTCAAGTCGGGCAAGACAGTCATTCAACACTTTTACGACGCCCACTACAAGGGCAGCGCCACGGCGCAGACATTCGTCACCCTTTGGGAGAAGCTCAAGGGCCGGATTGACAAAGAGCGCTACGAGCACGTTTTGTTCCGGCTCATCTACCAGGCTGGCCATTCGCTCGTCTGGCGTGACAGTGTGAACCAGTTTTACTTCAACAAGAGCGGTATCCCTGATGAACTCGGCCGTGTGGGCAACCACAAGTACAGGATTGAAGCTGAGGAGATGGAGCTCAAGGGGTATAAGTCGTATAGAGTCTCTCCCTTTGAGGCAGCAAGCGGGTATCACTGTGTCGTTACCGAGACGAACAGCACTGTTGGCACTGCCACGACGAAGCTCAAGGTTCCGAGCGGGAAGTATGACCTTGCGGTTAATTACTATGATATGGCGCTGGGGAATTCGACCTGGGAGCTGTTTGTGGATAGGAAATTGGTGGGGAAGTGGAAGGGGGATTTGGAGTATGAGCTTGGACGGGCGCCGTCGCCATATATTGATGGACAGACGGCCGCGAGGAAGACGTTTAGGGGGGTGAGGGTTAAGAAGGGGAGTGAGCTCAAGGTTGTGGGGAGGCCGGATGGGTTGGAGCCGGCGCCGATTGATTATATTTCGGTGTTGCCCGAGGGCACTGTGGATTAAGAAGGGGTAATCTGTATATGTATACGTGTTAGGTATATAACAGAAGCCAGACTTTTCAGCTCAGCTGATTTTCGGCCCATGTTGAGCCTCTTCAGCGGCTACTTTATCGTACACTTCAAGACATACTAGGGCCATTACCCAATGTGATTCCAGGAACTGGCCTCATTTGCTGAGTAGGTGAGCTCTGCTACAATGTAAAAGTGTCCTTCTCCTTCTCTCCCTCCCTCCTCTCTCGACCCTAAACTGCCATTCAACTAAGCAGTCATCATCGGTGGAACAACAAACAAATCTCCAAACCTCTTTTCCAGCTTCCGAGGCATCTTGGCCAGGCTAGGTAAGTTCAAGCCAGCATCCCAATTAAAAGCATTGACAAAAGCAGAAACAAAATCAGTCTGTACGTCTCGCGTCTTGGGTTCCACTGGAACAATAGGCTGAGCAGCAGCCTCTGAGCTCGAATCGACTGCAAGGGAAACAGAACTGTGCTTAGGCTCATTATCCGTGTTCCACAGAGGTGTCTTCCACCTCTTCTGCACAACCGTCCACTCATCATCGTCCTCCTCATTCCTTGGCGGGTGAGGATCCCAGTCTTTATGGCAGTTGGTTGGAAGAGGGAACTGCCTATCAGACTCAATCTCCATGAGCGTCGAGTCGATGATGTCAAACACCTTGAGCTTATCATCCGACATCTTGGGTGGAGGAGCAGAAAACAAGATGCCGCTCATTAGCTTGATCCCTCCGTCTTTGTCGTTGAGATAGTCGTCAATGTTGTTATTTCCCTTTCCGTTCAAGGGGTCTTTTGATGAGTCGTCTGCAGAATAATTAGCAGTCGAAGTAGGCAGGACAGAGAGGAGCACTTACACTTTTGCCACAAACCAGTAGGAACAGACTTGTACTCCTGACTCATTCCCCATACCTGCTTCCCCTGGGTCTGGGTGATCCGCACAGTCATGTGCGAGGCAAGGGAGGAATCGGTCTTCATCGGTTTGGCGAATATGCTGCCTGCCCCGGAGGCCTTGAAGTTGATGTCTTCTTTGTTGTTGCCTACAAGCTTCACGTCGTCAACCATCATCTTGCAACCGATGGAAAAGCTGAATGTGCCGGCCCTGACTACCCACTCCGCGTTCTGCTCGCGCTTGGGATCAGAGGTATCGTTCATGAGGCCGAACCGCGCCAGGAAGGTATGTCCAACGTTGTCAGATATCCTTTTGAACCTGGCTGCTTGATCCGGTTCCATGATTGGAATGATGGGTGTTGCGACCGCCATGGGGGTGGTGGTGGTTGCTGCCTTCTTCTTGCTAGAAGCCTGCAAGACAAGATCAAAGAACTGGTCGAGCTGCAGTGCACCGGGGCCGTTGTTGTCATCGCCGAAGTGGATGTTGAATCGGGCTACTTTGATGTTGACAGAGACGATGCCCGCCAAGGGGGGGCCCCAGAGGTATAGATCTGCTGACACTTCGACCGAGATGTGGATGTGAATGAACCAGATGTCCAGGTTGAAGCTTGCGCCGATGCAAATGCCTGCTTCTGATGCAAAGTGGAAAGGCTGGTATTGGATCAGGAAATTGGCAAAAGCGTCGAACCAAGCTGCTATGGGCCCGGCGGAGTAGGAAGCTCGAAGTCTGCCGCCTCCCATGCAAACTTTGGGTGTGATGGCAAAGAAGGCTTCTCCCGAGATGGACAGGTTGTTGCCCAGACCCCAGTTGATTTTGAGGCGATCTGGGACAGGCCATCCGACTGGAACTTTGAAAGCCTGGTGATAACCCCCGAGGGAGAAGACAAAGTTGCCCACATTGGCCTGATCAGCGTGGGGGGCGTCAAACCAGTACCAAAGGGCAAAGCCACCCGTCAACTTACAGCTTGGATGAAGGATGTAGGATTTGGGGGAGAGCTGCGCCTCCACTTTCATGATACCAATGTCGAAATCGACGACAACAGCGAGGCCGAGCTCAACATGGGCAAACTTGAAGTCTGACAGGCTGCTAGGAACATCGACTAATGCAACACCAAATATGCCCAGCTTGATAGAAGTGCCGAACTGTACAACGACAACAGCGTCAAGCGCGATCATCTGGAAGGCATCAATCTTCATGCCCGCTGCTGCCCAATACGTATCCGGCAAAGGCTGGAACCACGCATCCTGTCCCGCGCTGGTCAGCTTCTGCAGCGCTTCCAGTGCATCGCCGGCATTATCCGTGGCATGCTGATCAATGAAGGGAAACGAGGTAATCTGATCGGCTGTGGGCACGCGGACGCTGGAATTGTATCCAAACCCTCCCGTCACGCCAGAGATCTCTGCGAATTCAAGCGAGACAAGCGGTCCCGCAAGCTTTGCAAAAACGAAGACGGAGACGAAGGGGTCTCGTCCCTCGGGCTTGGCTTTACCATAGAAGCCTGCTGCCTCGAGTTGGTAGGGCGTCCATCCGACGATGAGTCCACCGGCGTAGTACTCAAGTTCGGGAGTCTTTCCATGGCGGATGATGCCGGCAATGGAAAGGGGCTTGCGCTCGAAAACAACTGAGAAGCCTTCCAGGCTAGGAGGCAGCATCCTGATATCGATCAGGTTGAGGCTTGTTAGCTCCATGTTGAGAGCGAACCCGATGAGACTGAAGCCCACGGGGCCGAGTTCCATGGTGGCGGTAAAAGAGATGCTGAGAATCTTGTTCTCGTATTTGAGACCGATATCGCTGATGGATAGGCCGCCCATCTTCTTCTTCAGAGGCGCCGAGGCCGCGCTGCCGTCCGAGTCCTTCTTTGCAGGTTCCTTACTTTCTCCCCCTGCCGGGATGGTTCGCTTTTTGGTGTTCTCCTTTCCATCTCCGACAGTCTTTTGCTTCTTGAAGTTGTAGTCGAGGATGCAAACTCTCTCGCCTCTCTCGTTCTTGATGACAATCGCGAGGTGCGCGCCTGCAGTGATGACCACTACATCATCGCTGGTATCCTTAGATTTGTCCTTGACAACGAGAGGATGAGCCTTGAATGCTTCATCCAGGTTGAGATCATCCTTCTCCTTGCGAGTTATGCCGGGAAGTTGCTGGGGTGACTTCTTCGTGGTACCGTCGATCACATGCATGAAGTACATCTCGTCAAATGGCTGCGTGATATCGCCAACAAGAGGGATGGACACATGGGGGATGCCGGTCAGAGCGGCCTTGATCAGCTTCTTGGACGGTTCTGAAGCAGACCAGTTGCTACCATGCCACTGGGCGAAGGTCAACGTGATTTGGACATCTTTGGGGAAATTCACCGTGAGCTTGGCCACAAAGTGGAATGGTGCAGGGGTGCCTGGCTTTGCCGATGAGCCCTTCATGACACCGATCTCAAGGCCGTCTTTTGCTGGATCTAGTTTGGCGTCGTACAAGAACTCTGGGACGTCGATGCCATCTCCGACGAGATCCTCGATGATCTTCCCAATGGTTGTCGCCGATCCGGCATGTAACGTTGCTCGGAACTCAAAGGCCTTCTTCTCATACGAGAAATGAAGTTTGAGCTGCAAATCAGAGACATTCAGAATTCCGTCAAAGGTGAATGAGCTGCCAACAACTTGGTCTCCCGTAGTAGGCGTCTTGTCATAGACGTAGGTGAGCTTCATGCTTTCAATCTCGATGGCCTCGATGAGCGGGAGAACATGATCTGCTTCTCCAGTTGCATCGGGGTCGGCGTTCGATGGCTTTTGGAAAAAGAAGTTGTAGAGGGAGGAGAGATATAGTCCTTCCAGGTCAGCGCTCAAAGTCCACTTGCCACTATCATAGACCATGGCGCCCACGAGCGTGGCAGGCTCCTTGTGTGTAGCATTCTTGGACGGCCTGAGCTCGGCGAGAAAGGAGGCCTTGACGTTGAGAGGAGATGTTGCCCCTTTGGCCCAGTTGTACGAAGCGTCGATGCTGACCCATCCAAGATTAAGCTGTGGTACGGGGTAGTCCTTATCTTGGGAGGTAAAATCCAGCGATTGGACAGTACCGCCCACGGCTATACTGCTTTGGTTGAGCACGACGTAGGCTCTGCTGATATCAGTGGGGATATTGTGTGGCACGTTCTCGATGTTCAAGCCTGGGATGAGGCCCGGGATGCTGATGGTCTTGCGGACTTTGGCGAGAGTGGGGACGAGAGAGTTGATTTCCTCGAACCCAGGCGCCAAGTTCCTGTCAGGGCTATCGTTGAAGTCTGGAAAAGCGTGTTAGCTATTAGACTTGGTATATTACTGGAAAATTAGCGACAAGTAGGTATGAAACAGCTGGGAAGAGAAAAATAGGTAAGAAAATGGGGCGCTTCCCCTTCCACAAGCTCCCTTTAATCGACCCGAATGTTGGTCCTCCCCGCTCCCACAAGTACGTGAGCAGAAAGACAACGGGGTCTGCGTCCTTGGGCTTGCCATCAGGGCCATTCTCATGCCCAAATGTTGCCGTGGCCTGAATGTCGACACTAAAAGACATCAACTTGGTTGTCTTGCCGCCGTCATCAGTACCGAGAGCAATCTGGATCCGGCGCAACTCCAGCGCATCCCCAAAGGCCTTTCCATCCTGCTGCATAAGCATGTCCGTCACAAACTTGAAGTCATCGGACTGAAGCCCAACACACTCTGCAAGCCAGGCCAGTATGTCCCCCAGAGCAGAGTGACCTTTGATCTGCTCGTCGAGCTGGAACGTTAGATGGTACTGGTCATGGAAAATTCTGATTCCCGCTCTGATCTGAAGATCGTGGCCTTTGGGCAAAAGATGACACTCTGTCTCGATCAGGACTTCACCTTGGGCGGAAGCTGATATCTTGCCACCTGTAGTCGTACCGGTGATGGTGCGGCGGCAGATGAAATCCACATTTCTGAACTCGAGGGATGGAAGTGCTTTGGCAATGTAGCTTTGAAAGGTGGCTCTGTCTGCGTCACTCAGACTGAACTGCAGACGGAGAATGGTCTGATCGTAGTTGAGTGGGCTGTACCAAAGCGCGTTACGAATCGGCTTTGTTGGATCGCTTGATACACGCAGCGTGACACCCCAAGGTGCAAACTCAGAGAGAGGCGGTGACTTCAGCCCAGCGAAGTCGAAGAGTTCCTTCACAGACGCCGTGACGGGCGTGGTCGTTGGGTCGAGGCCCATGTACAGAAGATTGCCAGTATCCTTCAACCCAGGTACGGGGACCTTGGACACAGGTGCTAAACCCGGATTGCCCTCAGAACCAAATGTCGTTACAAGGAATGTGGGCGCAGAACTGAATACCAGATCCCAAGGGGCTGCCATGCGGACCTGGAAGTTATCGATGTCTTGAGTGGCAGCATCATGAAAACCTGCACTCACGGTGCCCTTGGGATCGAGGAGCGTAAGCCATTTGAAGGTGATATCAGATGGGTCCAAAGGGATCGTCTCAGGAGAAGGGGATGTTGGCGCTCTGGAAAAGACGAGACTGCTTGAGCTAAGCTGACGGACGAAGTTGTCGATGTTTGTTTTTGCTGTTAGAGTCTTGACTGAGCCAGTGCCACCCTGCTTCGCGACGCTGGAGTAGACTGTGAATGGGCCAGAGGGAGGAGCTGGAGGCGGGGGAGGGTCTTCGTTTGACATTTTGGCGATGAGACGGGTTGACTGAGTGGGTGCTGTGGTTTGTGTATCTTAGTATTGGTAATGATAACCAAGAATGAAATGTAGTGAATCATAAATTGTGTCGTGGTCAAGGCCAAGGCCGACATCATGGTCTTCGGTGCAGCATCCTCCTACTGTAACGACATTTCGCGATCAAACAAGACGACTGGCGAGGCATCGGACCCCATGAGAGAGAGCAGTGTCACCGATGCTTGAACTCCGAGTACGTAAGGTACTGCTGAAGTGGTGTCCCAGATACAGTACCTGTTTGGTGTCGGCACAGTGCTATGTGATCCGACTCCCCGCATACATGAGGGTGATGCACCTTGACAGATTGGGAACAAGTTCAAGTCGATCAACTGCGTAAAAGCACGCCGGGTACAATGGACAGCGCGCGATACATGCATGAAAAGTCTAGATGCAAAAGTCTAGACACCCATTCGTCCGCCAAGCCATGGGCTGACAACCTAACAAATGCAGCTGAACCCAAGGATCAACTGCTGGAGTGGGCGGCCCGCAGCAGAGCAACCCCTCCCATTCTCGTAAGTGCCGTGAAAGTACTCTATTCTCCCCCTCGACAAATAGATACTTACACTGAATCGCAGACGTCATGAGAGACGACACCCATTTCTTTCAGGTTCTGTATAAGGGACCTACCATTATTCCAACTCATGGTCACGATCTTCGTACACTCTTGATCCCGGGTAAGGACATCTCCCTCTTTTGTTTCTCGAAGAGCGACCAAATAAAGAATCCATCTTCACGTTGATATTGCCAACATGGAATCCTCCACGGCTCCCTTGGAGTGGGAAATTCTCACGCGAGGCGATCCCGATACTACATTTGAGAGTCTCTATGTCATTACAGAGACTGCAAAAGTGAGTGAGGAGCAATGAAGTGCCAGACCTTCCCTGTTATCACCAGTTTTGGCTTCACATACTCCTTGTCATCGAGGCCTTCAGACTGATGTTCTGAATGAATCCAGGCTAATAGCTGCTGGGTAGATTGTCGAAAAAATGGAAGGCCTAGTGGAGAGCATTGTGTCGAAGGGGAAGAGAACGGAGGAGCAGTGGGAAGCTGCTAAGAAGATAGACGAGGCGCACCAAAAGGAACTGCGATTAGTTCTCGAAAAGGTCAAGCTGCTGTGGTATGATAAGAATCCTTTCCGATCTAGTGCGACGAACATTCGGACGGCATCCAGACACACAGAATTGGTTCGGGGCTTTCAATGTGCCGCCTGACTAACATTGCATTACAGTTCTCCAGGTGCTGAGTGGAGAGAGCCAGTTCCTGAGCAGCATGTCCTACGAGAGGAAAAGGCTAAAGTGAATGACAAGCGCGTCCTTCATGTCCGCGGCACCGAAGCGAAATGGAGGTTCAACTTCTTGCCTCAAGCTCTCATCGACAACGACATTTCCAAACTCGAAGATGACAAAAGACGCCAGCGCTTCAAAGAGGTCGTCGAGGACGACCTACGAAACAACTTCTATTTTCTACTTCCGGACCTCCTGGGCCTCTTTCTCTCAAAGCTCGGGGTCGCGCCGCCCCACGCCACAGTGGAGAATTTCTACATACCAATCCTTGCGCTATATGCACGCTGGGCTGGTGTGATGCTGGAAGGAGGCAGTACGCCTCTTTCCCAAGAAGACATCGAAGAATTTGAGCCCGATCCGGATTTCCCCACGGCAAGAGTAGTAGTCCGGTCTGACAAGCAGAAATCGACACAACCAAACATGTACCAGATCACATGGACGGAAGCAGATAAGGCCTCTGGAGAGCCAAACTTGTTCTCGTTGGGCGCGTCGCTCGGTGGTTACTACGGTAGCCTCGGCACAAGGAACTTTGGCGGTCTTCTTCGAAAGGCGCGATGGGACATTTGCGATAGAGACAAAGGAATAGTCAACATCGTGGCCCACTGGGACTTTACTGGGTATTCCAAGACCATGGAGTGGAAGTGGGCAAAGACCGGGGGAAGCATAGACACCTTCCGATACGGAAACTGTGCCGAGACGTACACCTTTCTCCATATGCTATCGTAAGTACGACGTCATTCGCTTGCGTCTCCCATTTCATACACAGCTGGCTGATAATATCCGGTGAAAAAGACACCGCACTCCGCAAGAAAGGGCCAGGACAAAGGGCATAGCCTTGAGTCCAAGAGGCACAACCCTGGATTCTGACTTTGACAAGAAGTCAAAAGATTTCAAAGTCGAAAGAGAATACAAATACGAGCATATTACTCAGCAAAGAAAGAATATCAAGGAGAAGATCCGCGATTTCTTTACAGGTCCTTGCGCAAACTGCACATTCATGGGGAGAATTTACGAGGCCGACCTTAAACAGTTCGACCCAGTGGTCCATTTGCCCTTCGATATCACAACATAGCATGAGTCAAGATTGAGGTGGGTGGAATCGTTGGAAATGCTGTTTCAATCTCTTTGAGATGGAAATTAGAGGTTTCATTGATAGTCATGGTATGGTGTAAATGAGAGTTTTCTATAGCAAGAAGTTACATCCGCTCGCTATCTCTGTTCTTCTGCATGATTGAATAGTGTGGGAGAACCCATAATTATCATGCAACCCCAGTTTCCAACAAAATGTCACGAGCTTCTTGAAATGCAAGGGCAGCCCTGACAGAGCCACAGTGATCTTCAACAGGATAATAGTTTTAGTACTCGCTGCAAACTAGGTGCAAAAAGAGATTAATCACATATCCCCTTTTGAACCACCCTGCCGTCAGAAAATCCTCTCCGATGGCAAAGTATAGAACGGCCTGTCCTCAGCCTGCAGCCATTTCAAGATTTCATCCAAGTTATCCAAGGTGACCTTGTGAAGACTGTAGTCGTCGGCACTCCAGAGATAGAACTTGAGCGGTGACCCCGTTTGAAAGAGAGTCAAGTCTTCAGTGACCGAGGGTAGGAGGGTGAAGAGTGGCTTCAAGTTGGTCTTGTCAAGGCCGGCAGCAGTGATGTAAGCAACCGCCTCGCCATCGGGGCCCCAGATTGCATCGCCACCCATTTGGGTGTAATCATCTGTCCATTGCGGAGGAGGCTAGAGGAGTTGATGTTAGGTATGCAAGCAAATGGACAGGACATTCTTGACATACAGCCATTATTTCAGTGGGAGGATGCAACCGGAGTGTTTTGTATTCTGAGAAGAGGTTATTGAGACAGTCATTGTGTGCTGAGAGCCAAGAGAGATGAGCCGTTTGAACGATGTCATGTGATTCATATCTCGCCGATGACGAAGACATCTATGGTAGGTTCTTGTTGGGCCTACAGAATCAGCGCCCAACCTGGAACACTGATTTCCCACCATTCCCTTCTGAATTGCACTTTGATTGGGCTTCCAAATGCGGCCCGTGAGGTGGTATGTGCGCAAGCCGCAGTCTTCAGCATGCGTTAATGTTATCACACGTTTTACGACCTCGCGGTCCCATAGGCTCTATGTCAACAAGGATAAATCGCATGTGCGGCAGTTTGAGGCATTTGGGCAAAGGTGCACCTAGTGGCTGAAAGTACCGCGCTGATCCCATCGTCGGTCCGTTCTATTGGCGAAGGCCAGGACCGGAGAGCCGTGATGTGATCACGATGGGTATGCTTCATTCACATGATTGTACCATGCAGGTTTGACCAGAAGAGAAGATCAGATGTACAACGCCAGAATCAGAAATGATAGACGGGCAGTTGCGAGCGGAAAGCTGAAAACTTGCAGGAGACTAATTGTTGCTGCAATTGTTATCACGTCTCGATCGAGTGCATATTCGGGGCATCTGTGGCTTCCACAAATTGAGCTGCAATGCAACAGTCAACGGAGGACACTGGACAATGCAATGCACCGTGCAAGGAACACTGGCTTCATCCCAGCGGAGATATCGTCGCCCGGGTCACAGCAATGATCAATCTGGAAGACAAAGCTTGTGGGAGTAGTTCCCCATCTTGTCAAGCCAGCCTCAACCATCCTAGAGAGCTTCAGTTTGAGTCAGGTGATACCAGGAACGACACACCAGCACTACCAAGATGGAGAATTCGCCAAATGACAGTGTCGTCCTCATCCCTCTTCAGCTCCAAGCCTTTGTTCTCAACGACAAAGTCGCCAACGAAGCGGACGACAAGAACTCTCGTATAATCCCCATCACGCAGCCAAACTACACTTTCCTCCGCCTGGACAACTTTCTCATCCAGAGTGATGTTCTTGGGCACTCCGACCTACACAATGCCGCACCTGCTGCGACGAACATGCGCCTTACGGACCTGGGCGACCAGCCTCACCCAACTCCGCGCCGTAACAGATATGGCGTCTATCTCCACTGGATTCTCCCAGACATGTATAGGTCTGGAGTGGTAGCTGCCGACTCCGTTGATGAGAAACGGCACGACAAGGAGCGTGAAAGACTTGGTCTCCCCCCGAGGACAGAACCACCCAGCAAGGACAGCGGCGACAAAAAGAACTCAGACACGCCAGAGTATCTGCAGCCCCCTACGCGGTGGATCATCATCCGAAGGCTCCACATGGACTCGGTCAAGGAGGAATTGAAGAAATACTTCAACGAGTACGAGGCTTGGGTGCTGGAGAGTGACTACAAGTGGGATCTTGACGATATCCCTGTCACGTTTGATCTTCAGACCGATGTTAGCCCCTTTGTAGTTGGGCAGAAAGGCGAAGGGGTGGATATCGAGCAACAGGCTGAGGTCTTTATCGGAAGGAAGACCCCCTTGGCTGATTATCAGCCTGGCAATCAGAATTCCTACACGGACATCAGTCTTCTCAAGAGCGGCAACATGTTCTTTGCGGATTTCCAGCTCCACAACGCGAATGTCTTTAGCATTGTCGACAATTTCAAGTACCTCGATGAAGATGATAAGAAGAAGCTCGCAAGGGGAGATGATGGTGCACCTCCGCCAAAGCCATCAGAAGGACACTACCTCGATTCCGCTACGGCAGACTACTACCTCGTTGGCTGGCACTCCACTGATAGCACTGACCCCTTGTTTGACAAGAATGGAAAGTTCACTCATGAGGATAAGCTCAAAGCTATTTACATGGAGCTGAAGGACACTGGCACGAGTGAGGTCGAGACATTCCTCACCGATACATCCGCTGTTAGGATGTGTCTCCACGGTGCTTTGTACGATGTCCGCTGGGACATGAATACCAAGCCTGAAATGCCTTCTGATAAGTTCTCGGTAACACTTCAGGATGACTCATTGCCGTCCACGGCGATAGGAACATCACCTATGGACGCTTTGATCACCTATATTACCGCGAGGCGGCACAAGGAGAAAGACAAGGATGTTGAGAGGTTGGAGGAGGACATTCTCGCCATTGACTCTTTGCTCCATGCCAGGGATGACGGTGTAGAGGGACAGCGCGAAGCGAAAGACATGGTCTACAACTGGAACTTCGGCCGCGTTCAGGGTGGCAAGCATTATTTCATTGCTGGTCAAGACTCCAAGGGCAAGCCCACCCAGCCAGACCCCAAGGCCGTCGAGCTGCTTGCCGAATTGAACATCAATCAGCAGCTCGTTGATGCCTGTGCGCGCTCTGCAGAGCAGTACAGGTGGGACATGTTCTCTATTTGGTGGAAGTACGTCACGGATCAAACAAATTTTGCCAATCGGAACAATGATCCGTATGTGCGTCAGACGAACGATTTGGCAGAAAAGTTGAGCAAGTTGGAAGACCGCATGAAGGAATTGGATACGACAATGCAAGAAATCAAGAAGAAAATGAAGGAAAGCAGTCTGCTGGAGGACTTGAAGACGAGCACGCTTCCTTTTTACTTTCAGCATCGAGACCCGACGGTTTTACTTGGGGGGGTTGAGTCCGGTTGGCCTTCTGACTTCAATGACAGTGGGACGGCGAGGTTGTCTTCACAATGTGTTACGAAGACGGCCGTCCCGGGGGACATCAGCAACTTGGCAGCACAGGTGACGACGAAATTCCCCGGACAATCTGCCTTGAGCGCCGTTGAGACGTTGCTGAAAGAGTTCTGGACACTTATGCCGAGCAACACCGCAGACGATGCCGCTGCTGAGAAAGATCACGCATTCCCCCAGTTTCATGACAAGCTCTCTGCAACTAATGACAACAAGTACTGGAGAGATCGATGGGAGAATCGTCAGCCTTGGTTCCCGCTCTACGTTGAATGGGCCGTGGAGTATACTCACATTCCCTTTGAGTACTGGGATCTGAGCGGCCAGGCAGTTCGCCTTTCCGCCCCTGAGAAGATCAGATACGGCGTTCCAGGTGTCGATGCAGACGGAAAGCCCGCAACGCCGCTCTGGGAGAAGATGAAGTCTGGCACACCAGCTGCCGCGGGCGATACGTGTCTCCTCTCCGGCCGGGTTCTCATCCTTCCCCAGCCGAGCTTCTCCTTGGCGGCGAAGGTGAATCAGCTGTTTGACAATACACCGCCCTCCATCTTGAAGGAGCACCTTGATGATGACGAGAGGACCTGGGTACAGCAACACTTGTCCAAACTACCTTTCCTCTCCTGTCCTCTGAATGGCTTCACTGAAGGCTTGCTCACTCTGTCAGCGGGGACACACATCAAACCAGAGAACAAGTTCATCACGAGTGATGGTCTGCAGAGCACTACTGCGATTAAGGCGGCCGAGTTCCCTCTGGCGGGCTTGACAAACGAACGCATCCAAATGATTCAGAACAACTCCGCATTGACGCCCTACTCGGTGCAGAATGACTACACAAAAAAGGACTTCTGCCCTTTCAAACCCGTAACTCATGGGCAGTTCAGGTTCACCAAGTTCAATGTGATTGACAAGTTTGGACAAGCCCTTGTCGCCATCGACCCCAAGCCACTCGCTGGTCCTCGTCAACACCCTCCCATCTATCCCGCCATCAGCGACTTTTACGAACCTCAGACCGTCACAGTCAACGGCAAGACTCACGCCAACACTGTTTTGCAAAACGAAGGGCCCAAGTGCGAGTTCATGCAGCTACCGCCCCAGATCAACCAAGCTGCGCGTCTCAACGCAGACTTTGTCATCCGCCAGCGACACCTAGATGATGAAGGCAAAGAAATTCCTCCCAAGCCCGATACCGTCTCTTCCTACTGGCGCCCTGTGGACGAGTGGGAGAATCCCATCTGGGGCTGGCTTGTGATCAACTACGCGGATCAAGGCATCCAAATCTTCCTCGCCGATGGCACTTTTTATCGCGAAGTTCGTGTCGGGGGCCGGGATGGCGCCATAGCTGAACCCAGATGGCTCCCATTCGCCTACGACGACAACATTCCCGAGCCCGGGGCCGGGGACTCCAACGAGAAAAAAGCCCCCGCGGTCAAGGACAACAGACAACTCGACGAGCTCGTCGAGAAGATGAAAAATGCCAACTACCTCCGCGGATTATGGATCATGATCTCGACCGCCATCAAGAACATGCCCCCCTCACCCAGCGCCTACTCCCAGTTCCTCGGCTCCATCGTCGGCAAGCCACTCGCCCTCGTCAACATGGGCATCTCCCTGGAATTAGAGAAACCCGCCCTCGTAAACCAGAGCACAAAAACCAGCGTCGCGAGCGCCACTCCCGAGCGCTATCTCCTTGCCCAGGATGCTCGTCCTCCCGCACCTAGCTACGAATTCCAAATCAAGCTCGGCGACAAGGCCCGCGAGGCCGACGGCTTAGTGGGCTACTTCAAGACCATTGCCGAACCCACCGTCGAAGACAACGAGAAGGAGCTTGTCCTCAACAACGTCTACACTTACTTCTTCAACGAGGACAACAAAAAGCCTGCTCCCCCTTCCGGGATCGAGAATCTCATTCCGATGGACAACACACCCGACACCTCCTACCCGAAGCTCAAACCATTCTGGGTAGCCCCATTTCCGCACTCTGGCGGGCACTACGACGGGCCGTACCTCTCCCCACAACAATACCGCGACCTTCGAAACAAAGAAATGAAGGTTTACGGCGCTATACTAGACCCATTCACGCCCGTCCATGCGTTTTCCTCCTTTTTGCCTGCCAAATCCCTGCAGCTGCCGTCTTGGACCTGGCAGGATGCCATGCAGAATATGGTTGCTTTCTTCCATGCTGGTCCGTTGAATGTTGTCAAGGACGTGGGCGAGTTCAGCAAGGATCGTCGATTGACGACCAAGTCTATGAAGAATGCTCCGAAGAGAAATGTTGCTATTCCGTCGTTGGGCGTTGGGGATTGGAATTGGCTGCAGCCGTTTGATATTGAAGGGGATGAATTTCCTAGTTATAATGCTTATGGGATTGAGAGGAAGGGGAATGTTATGGCACCTGGGTTTGAAAAGGCGCCGTATACGGCTATTGAGGGGTTTTTGCAGTTGCGGAGGCCGATTATGGTGGAGAAGCCGGAGGATGACACCAAGGCAGAGGGGACGAGGACATGATAGTGCCATGGTAGGTTTACGTAGGGCTTGGGATGCATGTCGACCGGTTAGTTTAGGAATTCAGAATATTTGTTGAGTTTGGTTTTGTGGTATTAGCCCATCACCTTATCCACACAATACATGCTTGATTGTGCATCCAACTACCAATAGCAAGGTTGACTCATGGCCCTGGAGGATAGCAAAATTAGGCAAGAAGTCACAGTGAAGATCTGACACCGTGCACAATATACACGCCTTTATAGTCTGAAATACGGTGATTAGTTGCAGTATTGCCTCCGCCGGTTCTTGATCAGCGCGGATGAAGGAGCTGGTGTTCAGTTTTATAGACAGGAATATAAAGTATTGAACACACGAGGGTCCAAATTGTGAGATAAATGAACGAATCCATGCTACCAGACCCTATCCGAGAAGGAAACGATCGTGATGCCAACCTAACAAAAAGGTGGACAGCAAGTCAGATCCAAGCCACATTCCGTCCCCGCCTTCACTGGCTGTCGACAATATGCTCAAACGTAGTGTCAGACGCCCCCTGAGCGACATAGAACAAATGATTCTTCCCACCCGCAGAGATGACAGTAATCTGACTCTCCTTTGAAACCTTTTTAGGCGCGTTGACATCCTGCTCCTGACCCCACGAGTCCGGGTTGGAGAGGTCACTCTTGACGATCCTCTTCACCTGATCATGTGTGTTCACGTAGTAGAGGTAGGCCTTGCTGCCGGCCGTGACAACAGCAAGAGGACTGGCATCTTTGGCGTTGGTGTTGCCAATGTTCACGTCTGTCAAAAAATGGTTATTAATCGGTATGAGTTCCGGGCTAGGTTTTACTTACATCCTCGTTTGGGGCGATAATCGTGGATCTCGGAGTTGTCGGCAGCCTGGTAAATGATCCGACGAACACCGGGCTCGGAATAGTACGCAGCGAGGGATGAGTCCTGGATGATGACTGCGGTTCCGGACCAATCGTCTGGTTGGATTTGGCCGACGACTGCCTCCTCGATTTTGTAGGCGTTTCCACTTCCCCCGCTGGGTAAAAGGTCAATAAGCCTGGTTGACTGAACAGACGAAGGGAAGAGGGGATGAGGAATAAGTGTAGAAAGGTAAGATGGGGCACATACGTGAGGAAGAAGACAGATGCAGACACACCGTCACTGACAGCAGCGATGGTTTTGTTGTCTTTGAGAGTTTGGCCAACAGGGTTATACACAGGGGAAAGGATAGAGACGTCGTGATTCAGCTGCTTGGGAACAGCAGGATCGGCCTTCTTTTCAGTGAAGCCGAAGACAAGTGGAAGACCGGTCAAGTTGGCGCTGGCCACCTGGGATGGGTTCTCAATCCATCCGACTTGAGCGGTGATGCTAGAGACATAGACATCGGTGGGGGGGTCTTGCGAAGTGGACTCGTTGCGTTGCTGAAGACCAAGGTTCTGATTTTTGAGGTTGTAGTACAAGCTGATTTGCTTGCCGGCTGGGGCATTGAGGTTCGCAATGGTTGTTACGCCGACCATGATTGCTATTCAAGTCCTGAAGCAGATGGGAAATACTTTGTGGAACAGTTGAGATGTCTTTTGTTTGTCAAGGTAATGGGAAAGATGGTGACAAAGTGAGAGGATCTAAAGGCAGAATGTTGAAGCAGAGCCATCATAACTTATATATCGTCTTGTCATGCAAAATCTGCACATCATTTTCGTAAATATGAGGTAACAATAATGGCAGTTTCCTTCATGGAGTCAGTGGCCCCTCAAACCACCACGCGCTGCGGTTGTAGATCACCCAAAGACGAACAATATGAAACTCACAATCCTGACACCGGATGATTTCACCTGACGATCGTGATGCCTGACAACTCAGCGCTCATGATGTACGGCTTCATCTCCCAATCCGGCTCATGATGCAGACGTGCCCATCATGATCCTCAAAAGTGGCTGGCTGAAGCAGACAGTTCAAAGTTCCATTATGCCAGCTTGCGGAATTCGCGCTTGAGACATGCAGTGACGCAGTGTAGTACTGCATATTTCGATAGGTCTCTCTGTTCCGTCTGTTATGCAATGCAGGTGACCCCTGCGGGGTTCCGGTCTGCCTGCTTCGAGGATAGTGGTGCTCATTGTTCAACAGGAAAAGTATCGCCCAAAGTCACTTTTTGATCTTGGAGACAACGAGGTACTTCGAACATAACTGGCCTATTTTGTGGGGAGGGGGAGAGAGGAAATCGCAAGTGGGCCAATCTCGGACCAAACCAAAGCTGCTGCACAACAACTTTCCAAGTTCCTCATCGTCCTCACGTTTTGCCCAACAGCAGCTTACTTCATTCTTCACTTCACGACACTTCTCTTAACGCTAGAGTTATAGCCCTTGACTGCTTTCCAGTTTTGGGGTTCAGTCCAAGATGGCTATCTTCACAGGCGGCAAATCTCGGGCAATCAACTCCCCCCGCCACCTCACCCTCCGCCATGCCCGAAGAAATGTTTACAAAGCCCGCAAAGCTAAAGGCCTCGCCCTACTGGGCGAAGACGACGACGGTCCAGATCTCCTCCCCGGCGAGGAACGGCTCAACTCTTTCTGGGCGCCGAGTCTTGTCGCAGGACCCCAGTACACTGTCACCGCGGAGCAGACCGTCACAGCCAAGAATAACGACCAGCCACTGCTGCTCCTCTCTCAGCAGACCTTCTCCGTCGACGCACCGCAATTTATGCTGCCTGAACAGTCCGTCTATTCGGTCTATCCGCCGTCGGGGTACCCCGAAGAGAACCGGATGCTGCCTCACGTTGTGTTGAGCGATCCCCATCTACCGTGGGAGAGAATTGGCAGCCCCAGTACGGAGGGTAATGGCGATACTAGGCGGAGGGTGCCGTGGCTGGCGCTGTTCACATTCACGCAAGAAGAGCTCAAGTTGAATCCAGGAGATTTGAAGGGACTGCCGAATCTACCTGCCGGGCAGGAGTGGGAACAAACGAGTACGCTATCCATGAAGATGACCGTCGGACAGATGAGGGGGATTACAAACGCCGCCAACCCCATCCAAGATGGAGAAGAGGAGTTTCGCAACGTCAACGACAAGAAAGGAGAATTCATCCTCATCAAATCGAACTTGTTCAAGTCACTTTTCTCGGCGTTTGACGAGAATGGCAACAGGATCGAGAAGGATAAGCCAGACGTGTCTCAGTACACATACCTCTCGCACGTGCGCAAGATCAACACAACGGGAATGGCCATCGGCGGTACAGAGGATGTCGGAATATTCTCCATCGTCGTTGGCGCACGATCTGGTCCAATGCACAATAAAACGCCAGTCAGCGTTGCGGTTCACCTCGTCTCGATTGAGGGTGTCGAACAGATGACCTTCCCCAACCCGGAGGAGAAACAGTTTGTCAGTCTTTGTTCTCTGCACAGTTGGAATTACACCGTCATGCCGCCAAACATGCTCAACGTTTATGATTCCTTCGTCAATTTGGGCAGATCTTTGAGTGTTCTTCGGCCACCGCAGGATGTCATAGACAGTTTGAAAGGAAACAGAGTTAGTGAGCGCCTGGCAAAAAGACTGGAAGATGGCTTCACATTAGTTAAGTACCGAATGCAGACTGGCGAGTCAACTATGGCATTCTATCGAAGTCCCTTCACGCCCACAGTTGTCCCCAAGAACCCGTATTTCGACACTTGTTCCAACTCAGGTCAGGATTTTCAGATCCTTGATCAAGAGCTGGGAATTGTGGATGTGACATATTCGTCTGCTTGGAACTTGGGCAGGGTCCTCGCTGTAGGGGACCAGGGATTCACGGCCGCACTATCCCGGCTCAGGGGTGCTATTCATAAGTTGGCCATGCACAAGATCAAGCTTGCAGCGGCAAAGAAACTTGGAGGGGAGACGAGCGTGAGGACACTTGCCGAAGTCTTGGATGGGATGAAACATACAGTCAACAGACTCAATGAGATGAGCGAGGGACTACCAACAGAAACCCCTGATCCTGTAGACGGACCGTCTGATCCAGCAACATCACCCACTTCTTCCTGGGTGCGCTGGTTCCGACCCATCCTCGGGCCCAAAAAGACTCGTGCTCTTGACCTCAACAACCGCATTATAGAGCAGCAATATCTCGAAGCGGCAACGGAGGCAGCCCTCGAGCTTTCTCTTGCCCAGGGCAGTGATGAAAAACACCAAATTGTCTATGACGAAACAAACAGCCCTGTCTCTACTGACTGGATGGTTGTACTTGCGTTTGTCATGGACCGGATGTTTCTCTCTGGCGTCCCTGCGCATTATCTCATCAGTGACCCATCCCACCTCAGTCCGGAAAGCCTCAAGTTCTTCTACATCGATCCCAACTGGGTGGATGCGATGATTGACGGAACTCTTAGCCTGGGTAATGAGAAAGGGACAGACATGGATCGTGCAGCTATCAAGGAGGCCGTCAACCGTTTCATCAAGCACCTCCCAGAAGAGCAGAAACATCGTCCGCAGGTGCCCACATATGGATTCTACCTCCGATCCGATCTGGTCACCATGTTTCCTGATCTCAAAGTGGACACTGTTCGTAAAGACCAGGAGGCTCCGCCGCAGGCACCACTGTTACGCCATGAGATTGTTGCCGACGGTGTCATGCTCGGTCTGCTCGATCGTACCCCTGGCTCTGTGGACTTTGACACACTGATCTTCACCCAGCCTCCCCACCAGCCGTGTTTCGCAGTAGGAAACAGTCTTGGAGCAGACCATCTCACCGTTAACATGAGGAAACAGTACACGGTTGACAAGGAGGAGCGCAAACTGGACCCCAGCAATCCACAGTTGCCATTCAAGCCGCCCATTGAGCAACGCCCAACCTCCAAAGACAACTTTTTTCTGTGGAATACGGTTCCTAGGGCTGTACAGCCAGATGTCGAAGACGACCTGCGCTTGCTGAGGTCGACCAGATTCGCAAAGGTGCAACTCGATATGCTCAACGACAAGAACCTGATGAAGCCGTACAAGCACCCCAAGAATCCCGAGGGGCCTGATATTGTTCCTTTTGAAGATGACACTCCCAACTCCGCCTTGTTCGCCATGCAGCTAACAGAGCCGATCTACTACCTCGAAATTGACCTGAAGAAGAGCGGATCTGGCCAGCCCGTCCCAGCCATCGCGAGCCTACAGCCGCCCGAGAACACCACCATGATACGTAGTCTTGCTTTCGCGGCACCGGAGGGACCGCAGACCCTGCGCACCCTCCATTCAACCAACCATCCAATCGTCCCAAAACTCTTCCCCTCGACCGCTGCCTCTGACGATGAGGATTCGGGCTCAGAGGATGACAGCGACCATCCTTTTCTCCGCCCCCGCGCAGCCTCAACAGCCGCCAGTTCCATCTTCTCCTTGGATACCTCAGAACCAGCCTCCTTGGCATACTCACCCTGTGACGCACCGCACATTCGCAGCATCCCCACCGTCACATCTCCCATCCTTCCCCCATCACCCTCCACTCCCCACTTCGCCCGTTTAGCCACCAGGGCAGCCATAGCTCCCGAAGACCCAGCCGGCCCCCCAGTCTTCAAATGCACAGCCTACACCCCCAACCAAAACGCCATCTACACCAACAGCCTCAATCTCCCCAAAGACATTGTATTTTCCATCCTCGTCAGCAACACCCAAAGCAACTACATGCTCAAGGAATTCGACGTCTGCATTCCGCTAGGAGACACAAAATACCAAGGGAGGAACATGCTCATGAAGACATACCAAGGCGCGGGAGCCACGATCTTGAGTAACTTGCGGTTCAATGCGCTGCTGCAATTCTCCAAGCTTCATGACCCTGAGTTGGATGTGCTGATATTGAGGTTGTTGCCGCGGAGTAGTAGTGGTTTTGTTAGTGTGAGGAAGGTGTATGAGCTTAGTTCGATACTGTCGCTTGCGTACTTGAATGATTATGGGAAGGGGGATAGGGTGGTTAGGTTGATTACGCTTGCTTATTTTAGGGGGGCGAGGGAGCGTGATCCGATTAGGGGGGAGTTTGAGGTTGTTCTTTCTAATGATGGTTAGGTTGAAACCTTTGTCTGTTCTGCTGGGCATGGACCCGTAAAGAGTAATTTAAGGAGGTGTTCAAGATATGATGTTGAGTGAATTTGATGGTTAGGTTCCAACTATTTTAGAAGGACTGATGGGTGTTCTTTAGGCATTAACAAGTGGTTCCGACAGTGGTGATGTGAAATCAGAAATGATGGCAAATCACAGGCAATATTGAACTGCTAGATACAAAGAAAGAGTACCTGCTTCAAAGAGCATAGAGGTCCAACCAATATATACCCAAAGATTCTCAGAAGCACCAGATTACCCTCCCGGTCCTCAGCCCAAAGGCCGATTCCTGAGCTCTCCCACAACCAAAATCCTTGAGTGAAGCCATCATAAGATGTCACTTGCATGCCGAGGGCATCGCCACTCTAGGTCACCCAGGCTGAGGTCGCACGGCTGAGTTAGGTGCGGTCGCACCTTCGGAGTGGATACCTTACATCACGTTGGAAATTGACGAATGAGGTTGCGTAACTGCACAAGAAAAGCTCCAAATTGATGTGGCTGCGTGCCCAAAGTCATGAGGCAGTATGACCAGCCAGGATTAGCTAAGCCTGCAGGACAATCCACGTGCCCGACCTTTGCTTTCGTGTTGGGGTGCCTAGGAGCTGAACTCTACTTCATTCGGACGTGAAGGAAGCCGAAGCACCGTCATTGCACCTTCATTGACCCCCTCGTGCGTAGAGAGACCAACAACACGACATTTACAGAGCAAGAATGGAAGCCTTTTGGGACTTTAGCTGCCGCTGTTCAGCTGCTCGACGCGACATTGAGAGCCTCCTCGACGACAGCGGGGCTGGTGTCTGGTTTCATCCACGCCAAAGATGATGTGCAGGAACTGCAGAGATGTCAGAACCCGAACTACTTGAGTCCATCGAACGCAGGGCGACTAATAACTTTTGTGGTACAGCCCTTGCTGCGGTTCAGGAGTTATTCCACCAGCTCCGAGCATATGCGACTGAAGTGCAGCAGTCGTCACTTGCTTCATCGATGCAGCTTGATCTTGCCCGGCTCATAAGGCCACTTTCCCAGCGCTTCTCCCAGGACATGCATGTTCTGTACGATCTCATTCCAGCTGATCTCTCAAAATGGAAGCGCGCCAAATTTGTTTTCCACAGCGCAGAGAGGGCAGCACTACTGCGCAGGCTTGAGGAGCGTAAGGGGGAAGCAACGTTGGCGATATCAATGATCACAGGGTGAGAGAGCAAGCTTGCCTAGACGATATTGACGACGCATCAGAATGAGCTGACCACAATTAATGAGGTCAACAGGCACATTTCGACATCCATCCACTGCGATATTCATAGCATGGCCACCGAACAAAGGGCTTCGACAAGTCGGCGAGAGGTATCAATGAAGCAGCTCCAGGAGAACATGCCCGCTTCGGCGACTCACTCCTGGATCTGCGCAACATGCTGCGAGTTTTAACGCGCAGGAAGCAGCCGATGCGAGAGAAATGGTTAAGACAGTTCTCAGCCAAAACAAGACCCTTCTGTCCTCGACCCAAACAATGACAGAGAGCAACATGACCAGTATTCAATCCCGACCGGAGAGCCTTCAGATATCTCAGTAAACACACATTGAAGGCCTCTCAACATTGGTATCCACAGCAGGGCTTTCACGGGATAATCAGGACCTCCTTGCTCGGATGGTACGGGTAGAGGCGGCAACGAGTTTTTGAACCTTTGATGGGCAGATTTGATGGTGTTCGGGAAGTAATAGATGAGCTGGCGCTGACTGTTCCTGATCTGAGAAACGGCCAATCAAGCTCAGCTTCCAAGTTTGCGATGATTGTTGCTGATCGGTCCCCGGCCAAGTTCCAAGACCCACGAAAGGTCACGACAAGGTCTTTCTCAAGCAACTGGCCCTACACAGGATCACCAACAGGATTCAAGGAGATGCCTCTCTCAACCCGTACGAATTGGATCGTGATGCGCTGGGGCCAGCTCCGGATCAATGTTCAAACCTACAGGGTGCGCGGTATTATGCCTAGGAATAATTCCGTTCATTTCTGCGTGCACGTAGACTTTTCACCACGACCCTGGCTCCTGTCACAAGGGATCTCCATCACCCATTCGTCTGGTCCTGACCAGCAAGGCTTTTACAGCATTTGTCCGCGTATAATGACCTATCCTGTGTACAACTAAAAGGAATCAGTCATGACGAGTCTTGTGGTAGCCGACAATATAGACAAAATCAGGGAGATGATCCATACAGGAGAGCTTTCGATTCGTGCGCGTGATGAGGACGGAGAGGGGCTTCTGGAGATACTTTGGGACTTGCAAACCTGAAAGTATGAGAGAGCATGTTGGCTAATTGCTACTAATTCCACAGAAATCCATAATATTCAGGGCATACAATGTATTCGCTTATCTTGTCGAAGAAACCGGCTATTGCTAAGCCTCTGTTGGACGTTGAAAACACAACATTCTATGAACTAGCGAGTTTGACGTTTTAGAGCTTGTCGGTGAGCATTATGCCTGTTGGTCAAGTGCTCGAGCTCCTCTCACTGATTGGAATGTGTATTGGTGAAGAGGATACCATGAGGGGAGATACCTCACGCGAAGATGCCTGGTATATCCTGTTCCTATGTGGCGATGATGAAAGCCAGCCTTTTGCTCGACAGCTGCACGGTTTTAGAGATTCGTGGCAGCCTTTCTCGTGGAGATTGCCCTTGCTTTGGGGCGTTTTCGATTCGGATGACGTTGTTAATTTTATCGACGCGCTTTGCTATGATTTGTTTATGTTGCACCACAGCCTCAACTGTGGAGGGGATCCAAATCAACCATTGCAACGCGATTCCGGATACAGGTATCAAGACTTTCTCCACTCACTGCACTTGTCTAGCAACTCCACTGTTCCGGATCAACATGGAAAAGTGTTGGGAACAGTTACCCAGTCGAGTGGACGTTGACGAACCCGAGCGGAGTGAGGATGACAGACAAGATGATGAGGGTAATCTGGATGGAGAGGGTGAATTAGAATATGAGGATGTGTTGAAGCTGGCAACTCTCCTCATTATCGAACCATTCAAATGCATCATCTCTCATGGAGGAAATGTCTACCACATGTGGGACCGAGATGACCCGGAGACAGCCAGGACACTCACACCTGTGGCAGAAAGAAAGGGAGTCATGGACATCTGGAGTGCGGCATAGGCGGCTTGCGGATATGATGTCGAAACAGTGATTGCAGAGTCCGAGCGGCGATTGGGTGAATATCGGAGACTACATGGTGCTCGCAGCACAGTGGTGGATGTTTCCACCTTCAGCTTTGACGAAGAGGCTGGGATAGGTATGAGACGGAGATGCGTCAAGGGAAAGGAGGTGGCGAGTGGAAGTGAGTAAGCTAGCGGGTCCTTGTCTGGGGGGAGCAGGTTTGGTCTCTCGAGTAACAGAGAGCGAGTTGCATAAAACAATTGCATCCTATATTGTCGAGTGGCGCGTGCACTCGGCCCGCACTGGCCAATGTATTTATGCAACTGTGCGGGGGCATCCTCAAAATAGTTCCATCCTCAACTACGAAGTATGTCTTGAACACACAATCAGCAAAATTCACCTGTTGGATCACTCAAACTGGCGCCCACCGGCTGCCTCTCCTGCGCTCACAGCGTGTCTACGAGGATGACTTCCCTTCCTCTAGAGCTGAAGGCTGGAAAGACTTGGGGGAGTCTGACCGACAGGCGCTTTGTCTCGAGCTTCGCGGAATGGGCCAAAGTTGGCGGAGCTTGGAGCAAAACTCGGGAGAAAATTACATAGGTGCTCCAGATTCCAGCTTGCCAGAAGCCGTGATGGATTCGAAACAGCTCGTCAGGCTGTGGCCGCAGGCGCTGTCGACAGACGACCCCTCAATGATATTCTCCTCAAAAACAGCAGCAATCTTCACGGCCCATGGGAGGCCAGTGATGCAGTGCGTCTCTTCCAAGAGGCCTGCTACATAGACCTCGAAGATGAGGTACCGATCGCTTTCACTCACGGTGATCTTGTTCCTTGCAATATCCTCGTAACTCGTGGGGAGAATCCCAAGGTAGCTGCCATCATTGACTGGGATCAATCTGGATGGTATTCGTCATACTGGGAATGGTGCAAAGCAAAATGGGTCATGATGCCACCAGTTGACATGGACCGCGTTCAGCAAGAGCTTTGGAAGCAGAATTACCTGCCGTGGATCCTCGAGCCACTATCAGAAACTGATATCTATCATCCCTGGTTTTACTTTGCACTTTCCAACCTTTGATGTCATAGATTTGGCCTGTCTTCCACATAAAGCATTCAACGGGGCAACCAAGCCCGCATATCCGGAAGATGGCACAAGCGATGGTGGCATAGAAGGGGACTTTATCCAACAGGTGCTGCGTCCCCGACTTAGCTTACATTTGAACAATTTATCCAAATAACCCCGCATGAGGTGCCTGTCAACCCGGTCTCCGGGACAGATGAGCATACTTTCAGAGCTGCCTATAAAGAGCGACCGTCCATTAATCTTCAAGCTCCGTTGAAGCAGGCAAATCCCATTTCATGCAGCATGCTTTTACGAAGTTTTCTTGCGATCGGGAGCCTACTGTCGCTAGAAGCTTCGGCTTCGGTGACCATTCGCAAGACAGGCCGTGGTCCCACTGGCTACGAGGTCGACTTTTGCTATGTCAACGCAACTGCGCAGCGGGTGCTAATAGGAGGCGGAATTCAACCTTTCACCGACCAGTTCCACACAACAGGAACGTCGTACCGCTTCAACGGCCGCTATGATCCCCACGACTACCAGCCGGGCGACTTTTATGTCAGCAATCCTTCACCTCAGCTCCCAGCAGAACCGCTATACAGGTGGCCATATGAGATGAAGTCCTCGGATGATGGTGTATGGACATACACAACACCCCTCCCAAGCGGCATCTACAGCTTTGCGTATCTCGTCAACTGCAACTACGCACCCAACTGCAGCATCGACACAGGCCATCTCGTCATCGACCCAGACCTCCCGCCATTTCAAAACGTCCAAGGCGATCAAGTAGCCTCCAGCTTCCAGGTCCCCTTCGATGACAAATTTCAGGCCTCACCCGAACTCAACACCAACTTTGACTACGCTCTCGACGCACCAGAAGGTCACCGTGGTGTAGTCAAACCAGCAAACTACACCTCCCCCGGATCGATCCATCCGGCCCCTGACATCCACGACTTTTCCATCTACCTCCCAGCCGAATACGGAACCATCCCCGAGAAGAGATACCCCCTCCTCTATCTCTCCCATGGTGCAGGCGGCAACGGCGCCGACTGGGAAAACCTCGGACGAATGAGCCATGTGATGGATAACCTCATCCGCCTGAAGCACATCCCCCCAACCGTGGTGGTCACCCCCTCCTTCTACAACCTCGACGCTTCAGGAGGCAAGTTCATCTACGGCAACAGATCCCACAGTGTCCCCATCCCTCCCGCACCTTACGTTCGCGAAAACTTTGAGAAATACCTCTTCCCCTGGGTCGAACAAAATTACGAAGTCTGCCAAAACGCAAGCTGTCGCGCCTTTGCGGGGTTGTCCATGGGCGGTGTTCTCACGTACGAGATGTTTGTCAATGCCACCGACATGTTTGACTACTTTGGGATGTTTTCCCCTGCTACCAACACGCCGTATATCGATGCGTCTTCTGCGGTACAAAACCCGGGGTTGTTGAAGAAGGGGATCATGGTTGCTTATGGACTCTACGATTTTGTGTTCCCTCAGGCGAGGGAGCTGCAGACTGCGTTGGATGCGGTGGGGATACGGTATATCAATCGGGTTACGCCGTTTGGGAGTCATTATTGGAATACGTGGCAGGATGAGCTTTGGTGGTTTGGGGTTAAGGTGCTGTGGAAGCCTTTGCCTTTTGGGGTGGGGACTGGGAGAGTAAGGGCGAAGGGTTGAATATGTACTATGAAGTAGGTAGGTAGGTACAAAATGTGTGGGTGAAAGAATTCCTTGCTTTCTTTTGCCGTTTGCTCTTTTGCCAATCCTCAAGCTGATGACCAGATCCTTCTTGCACGTCACTCCTGTATTGTGGTGTCTGTTTACAAGCATTGGGAGTACCCTGGCGTATCTCATTAGCATATCATCCCTCATCCTCAGAGCAACAAGCAAACTCACATTGGTTAGAAACCGTGCACGTATACGGAGCCTCACACCTCGTTGGCCCGGTATACCCCTGCCCACCACACTGTCCCCACCTCGGCACCGTCGCCCCATTCCCCCCCGTCGGCTGCGGCGTCGTCTGAGCAGTCGACGTCGGCCCAGGAGCAGGGTTAGGATTAGGCGATCCGACCGGGTTCGTCAACGTCAACAGACCAGGCCTGTACGGCAATAGGTTATACTCGTTGCTGTTCCCCGACCTCCCCTGGTACAACAACTGCAAGTTGCACGGGTCAACCTCGAACCTCTCATCGTTGCTCGACCGGACCAAGTCACCGTGGCTGATATCGTTCGACCACGTCGTGCCGCTGTTGGCCTTGCCAGCAAAGGAGTTGCTCTCGCTCGCGGCGTTGGGTGTCCACGAACCGCCGAGGTTGGTGGTGGTGTAGGAACGGAAGTAGCGGCCCTGGGCACCGATCGACTCGATGATCATGAGGTAGGTCGTGGGGGAGGAGTCCTTGAGGGTGTACACCTGAACAGCCTCGAAGAAGTCGTTCTTGGCGCCGTTGAAGATGATGGTGGTGGAAGTGCCAAAGTTGCCGGGGAAGTTGTTGAGGGGCATGACGGAGCGGTAGATGCGGCCGTTGTCGCCGGCGAAGAAGAGGTACATGTTCTTGTCGTCGGCGATGAGGGTCTGATCGATCGGGCCGGTGTCCGAGTTGGCGATGGTGCCCGAGAACAAGGGCTGGGCGGAGGACCAGCCGTTGGGGTTGGTCGGGTCGGTGGAGGTGCGGTAGGAGAAGGCTGTCGGACCCCATTGGTAGGCGAGGACCCAGATGTTCTTGGGGCGGAAGTAGAACAGGGTCGGGGCGACGGCGGCGTTGTTCATTTGGTTCTGGCTGGCGCGGCCCATGTCGGACCAGTTGGTGAAGAGGCCGAAGTTCATGGAGCCATAGTTGCGGCCGTCGTGGTATGTGCCATAGACGAGGTTTTGGCCGTTGTAGGGGACATGGGTGAAGTCCTTGAGGGAGACCCAGCCCGACTTTGGCTGTGCGAGAATGCCAGAGTCTCTCCACCTGTACGAGGTTGGCAAGCTGCAGGCAGCATCAGCTCCAGGGATTGCGAATCCGAGGAGAGACAGGGCTGCCAGTGCCGTTGGGCTGAGAACGCTGGAGTTGATTCTCATCTTAGCGACTTGATGATCAGACAAGAGACTGGATGCCTGGCAGGTGAACCCGAGGAGCGTCCAACGAAGGTGACCTGGCTTATATACTTGAAATAAGCCATTGTCAACCTGGGATCGGCCCTGGGCTACAGCTGTCACGGCCTCAAGCCACATCGGGCATATTTCTCCGTCAACAAAGCGCAAAGAAGAACTTGACTGTGGATACAACTGCCGAATCCTCTCTCTCGCCATTATGATTTCCCTTGTCTCAGGACTTGCCCAAGTACGCTCTAGCGCCCGAGATGAGATGAAGATCACTTGTCAACAGAAACCTCACGATGTTACGTTCAGACTCCACACTTCACTGCCAAAATGCCCGTATGCACGATAAAACCAGGTTGGCGGGCGTTCGCGTAGCCGTTACAGCCTCGCCTTTCGAGGCCAAGAAACTGGGGAAGATCATGCAGCGAGATGCTAGCCGCTTGGTGGGCCAGAGAATTTCCGGGCGAGTCTAGATGCGCTCCAATGATGATTTAACAGGCCAATGAGACTTGCCTCCGTGTCCATTTATGAGTAAGTGTTGCCGGATAACTCACCCGTTATGGCTTCGGCAGAGGTTTTTGCACGATCCGATCCCAAACGGGAAGCCGATGTAACGCTGTTTCGACAACCCTCTGTAATCCCGACTCCCCAAGTATGGAGGCAAGTATGGCGAGATACTGTCTTGGTCACCCAAGTCTCAACATTTGTTGCTCAACTTGTTTGCTCGAATAAAGGAGAAAGAGTATCAATATGACTGGCACGTTTGCCAAGGTGTCGCTAGCCCAAACTACCAGCTGAACGCTTCCAATGTGCTTCATCCGACATCACCCAGAGTCCGTTCCATGTTCTGAAAGGTCCTAGGCGAATGGGCATTTCTCTATGCACGTGTTTGAAAGTATGAATATGCAATCTGGGTGATTCGGTAAGCGTGACTCTCAACTAAGTCAATAGGAAGACGATGAGTGGAAGATGGCGGGTGCCGAGTGTTGGATGAATATGGAGTAGGTAGTTGAATCGAAATTGCGAACCGACCAGGCACTACCTAGGCAGGTACCTACCTAGATGATTGTCGTCTTTTTTCTTTCTTCTGTCATTTGATCCAAAAGACTTAAGCCGGGACATACTAACCAAGTTGCTCTTGTTGGAGCTGGTAAATCGGGAAAGTGTCATAAATGGTCAAGTCGGCGGGGAAGATCCACATTCCCCTGTCAACCATAAGGAGGCTTCCAAATAGCCTTTTATGGTCATGGTACTGCTCCTCTGTGGTGTGTTTGCATTTGACGAGAGAGTCATCAAACTGGACTTTGCTGCACCAAACACAGGCTGCTATCCATGGTTGTTGGCCTGCTGCACTGTGAAATAGAGTAATAGGAAAGGTAAATATATCGGCAGCTGACAACCCAGGACGGCTGTTGCCTTCCAGGTTGTAGGCGGATGTCGATGTCGGAGAAATGATGCACCGGGCGACAGGCGTCACATGCAGACCACCATAAGACAGCAGTTGTCACCAGCCACAGCAGGTGCATTAACATGTCTAAGTCACAAAACTGTCGTTACCCTACATCGAAACTAACGTATTGACCTAATGACACACTATCTTTATACGAATTATCAATTCCACACCGCTTCTACCTGTGATAATTCTTCCCTAGAGGTCTAACCGTTCAAATCACAACTTTTCACCCAAAATATTCACCACCGCGCCATCTCTCCTCCTCCTCACCTCGAGCTGAACAGTCGGATCAACCATCGCATAAAGGCCATTCATCATGGGCTTGGGATCACAACCTTCTGCGAAGCGCATGTCGTACTTCAAGAGGATATGAGCCAGTGCGAGCTTCAGTTCAATGCTGGCGAAGAACCGTCCAGGACAAACATGCCGGCCTCCACCAAACACATAAAACTCCTGGCTGCTTTGGACAAACTGACTGGTTGCGTCACCGGCTTCACGTTTGTGCAAAAACCGGTATCCGTCGAACTGGTCTGGGTTGGGGTAAAAAGTGGGATCGCAAATGTTGGTCGAGTCAACCACGATCTGGGAACCACGCGGTAAAATCCTGCCATCTGGGAGGGCTGTGTCTCTGAGCACTGCACGTTCGAGGACGACTGCATAAAGAGGTTAGCTTTCGGTAATGGAAATGACAGCAGGAGTACAAACCTAAGCCGGCGCTCAACCTCTGCGACTCCTTCATGAAGCTGTCAAGCAACAGCATGTTGTTCGTAGCAGCCACCGAGATTCCGTGTTTCGAGATTTGTTCCGAAACCTCCTCTCTGAGTGGCTCAACAAGCTCTAGGTGACGGACAATGTCGATCAAAATCGTCCGGAACAACTCCGTTGTGGTGAAGAGAGCGGCCATGGCCAAAGAGAGTTGCAGGTCTCCTGGTTCAATCTTTCCGTTCGAGGAAGCCTGAGCCCATGCAAGTGCATCATTGTACTCCGGTGCACTACTTCCTTCCTTCATCGCCCGCTCTGTCTCTTCTTGTCGTTTCCGAAGGACACTATTGACAATGGCGCGCGCTTGGGGCACCATATTCCGGCAGGCTTTGGCATTGGGAAGAAACCAATGAACAATGGACCTCGACCAAGGCGGGTACGCATGCAAGTCGTACACAGCCATGAAGTAGGACATCACATAGCCCTGAATAAGGCACAGCCAAGTGGGATCATCGCCCAGCTCGGGACCCACGAAAACCGACGACGCCGCGCGGGCGATGATGCCCATTGTGTCTCCATGCCAGTTGATGGAATGCCACTCCTTATCCTCACCCCAATGGACCCGGAAGGCACGTGCAAGACTGTCATTCATTGCACCTATCGTGCTGTCGTTTTGGCCCATTTTGGTCGTGATGAGGCGCTTGGCAGTCTCGTCATCTCCATGCAGCACAGACTGGGCCTCAAATCCGGGAACACTGGCGAAGTAGTCGTCCTTGACGAGCTGCTTGTGATCAAGATCCTTGTTGGATTTCACCCAACCAGCTGACGAAGCTGGTAGGATGATTTTTTGTCCATGGAGAAGATTGATGGTGATGGGGCCTTGGTGTTTTGCGAGGCCTTCGGTGATGAGTTTCCGGGCGTTCTGCTGAGCTTCACGTGCTGCTCTGCGACCGAGAAAATCGTAGGGATATTTGTTGACAATAGGGAATGGGGTTCGTTTGGGGCGTAGGAGGAACGCGCCGGCTAAAATGGCAACAGCCGTCCAAATGAACAGCTGGGTCAACATGCCGTGGGTTCATGCGAGTTTGTAGTGACGGCTGGCTGCATGGGAATGAAAAAAACAGCAACATCATCACGACTTTATGTGCCATTGGAGGATGGATGAGGATAGATCCGCCATAGAGTTCCATGTTGCCCTCCAGATGAGTTTTTTAGTGTCAGTGCTACCTTCAAGATGATTGGATGACCGAAAGAAATCCAGGCATGATTTATTATGATTCATTTCCTTCATAATCTAGTGGAGCACTGCATAATCCAGCATAAGGTTATGAAGCATGAGAATACTAACTCAAGTAAAAATGTTTACCTAGGTAAAAACCAAGATTTCATCTGGTTCCGAATGCATGTTTTGACAATGTTCAGAAGCCTTGATACCAGGTATCAAAGAATGTTGATTTCGTGGATAGTGGTACTCCAGTGATGTATATGAAGTTTGCTATTGTTGTTTCGTCCTCCAGGACAGGCATGAAGCTCCAGCTCTTAGTACCTGGTATCTGAGCGACTATTTATTTGTCTCCTCTTTTGTTGGGCATGATGACGAACCCAGTAATGATGCACAGGTACAGCTGTGGTGTCTCAGCAGTATAGTGTTGCTTATAAAGCCTTCTTTTTCCGCCTCCCAAAATAATACACTATCGCAAAAGCTATCAGGACAACCATCACAGCATGTGGCCAACCTTGTGTAGCTCTTGCTGGGTAACAACAAATACATGTTGCCGAAGCTTTGTATTCACCAAGATGGCGCAATTGTCCGAGTCGCTCTTTGGTCCGGGCGCTGAGATTGGTTGGGTTCACATGCTCCTATCACAGTGTCCAAATAACCGAAGAATTCACTGCTGATGGGGCTGTTCGCTCTCTGTTGCTCTTGGGGGTTATAATGCGGCTGCATGAAGGCTGTTGTGACGATGGGTGGTAGGGCTAAGATATGGGGGTTAAGTCCCTGAGTTTCCGGTTAGGTAATGGATCGGAATACCTACCCACGTTCATGCGGTTCGGTCGCTTGATGGTTGCATGGGTATTGATATAGATCTCATGCTTTATTTACTCATGTATTTTCTTGCTGTGCGAGATGTTCAAAGTGGGTATACAACCGCAAGATAAAATCAGGAACTGTGTCAACCCCCGCCAACTCTTTGCTCCTTTTCATTAATACTGTGGCTGTGATCCAAGACAGTGAAAAGGCCACATTAATCCCGAGCCAACTGATGACCCTCCACTGTGAAACAACAGCCTGTATCCTCGCCTCGTACAAATCCACGGTGAGTAGTGTGCTGTTCGGCTCATAGCTCCTCTGCAGCAGACTCCAGGCTGCCATGTACGAGAACCGAATCATGGTTTCTGTGTAACTCTCCAAGCTCTGCCACGAAGATATTCCAGTTGAGTTCGAAATGGCCAAACAGGACATGATATCGGAAGTCAGATATAGTGCCTCTCTAACCCATGGCCCTTCCACAATATCTTTTCCGTCCAGGTCGTTGTCATCCGCTTCAATGACATTCTGCTTCACGTATGTGCTTGTAGCAGGGTTAATGATGCCGGCGGTGAAGTTGATCTCGAGATAAGTGAAAGTCTGCTGAGGCTTCACTTCTCCCTTTGCCCAGACGACTGTTGCTCCGAGCGCAACTTCATTGTTCGGCTCCTCAACCCCAAATACATCCACGACATATGGAGGGAAGGCCACCTGCTGTGTAAGATAAACGATAGCCGTCATGGAACCGGCCCAGATGAAGGGCGCTGGGTAGGGTGGCTGGTTGACGTAGACCGTTTCCCTGGTGATGTTGAAGTTGCCATTTTTGGTCGTCATGACGGGCGGCGTTGGCAGCGTCTTGTTAGTTGGGTCAAATACTAGTACTGTGCCAGGTTGAGTTCGGAGAATGGGAGGTCGGCCTGCTGCGGTGATGACCTCGGAATTGTTAAAGACATTTTCCACGCTCTGCGGCATGGGCTTCTTCGGCCAAGATATGCTGTGGACCACAATACAGGGAATGGTAGCGTTGTGTAGCTTTGTCCCAGCTGGGAACTGGTCGTGCGTTGTGACATGGCGGCACTTCTGGCTCTTGGTCTCTTTCAGGTCTGTGCTTGTTGATGTTCCGTTCTCCCAAGCAATGCCAGCAAGCGATGCTGCGTTCCAAATAAGGTCATGTCCCACCTTGCCCTCGGCAGATGTGATGAAGTTCCAACTGTAGAATTGTGCTGCTGGATTCCCTGATCTGGCTGTGGCAGAGCCAGCTGCTTCATAAGAAGATTTCCAGCTCAACGCACCCTCAAGGATGGGTGATGCTAGGAGCGCTGGAAGAACGAGAAATATTGATATTCGAATCAAATTGTAATCTGTTCGGAGACCTAGTTTGATGGGAAATCGATATTCCATGGCCCATCGGATTTTGTCGATGATTTTCTCCTTGCTGTGGGTTTGTCGAGTCTTCATCCATACGATGTACCCGCTTTTGGTGAGAACGTTCGTCACCCAGACGCCGGCGACCCATTGAACCGCAACAGTAGACGCGGAAACAGCGGTGATGATGTCGTCTGAACGAAGCCTTGACTCTGTTTGTGAGGCTGTGTTTGTGGTTGTATCAGCGCCATCGTAGGCTTTGTAGTTGTCCACAACGAGCAGCATCACGAGTGTAAGAGTGATGTACAGGATGGCGTGCGAGATCAACGCTATGGTGGTCCATGGCAATTTGAATAGACGTTGGAAAGATGCCGTGACGCCATTTGGACAATTCGATCCCCCAGTTCTGGCTTCAGGATCAGCCATCTGGTAGGTATGTGGAAAAGGACGCCTCGTGCATGTCGGGGAAGGAAAACCAGCACCTCGCCATCATAGAACGGGGGGCCATCTGCTGATGGCTGGAGAGCTCTGTCTGTTACGCACGAATTCCACGCACTTTATGATATTCATCGCCTGATGATACCACCGGGTATACGTGAAGACGTACGGATATCGGATACCCTGCCTACATGTGGGAAATTTCCCGATGGTTACCCCAACATCCTGCTCTAATTCGCCAGAGTGATATCACTGTTTGGGATACTGTTCCATTCATGCTGCATATCGCCCCCAACTGTGATGGGTCGCCGTTATACCCGAGGCTGTGCCTCAAATTACTACCGGGCTCAAACCTTGCAAACCTATCTGAAAGGCTGGTGGGGGTTGCATCCTAATCTATCGAGATAATGGTATCAGGCAAGTGTAATACAACACTATCTGCAACCAGGCACCTTCCAATTTGATTGGACGTATGGGACTCCGGTAATACCAGACCATGTGCCTGCTTTCTACGAAATCAACTTGGGTTCGGATTTTGTTGAGGCCGAGCAAGACAAAGGCCGGCTTGTTTGAAAGGCCCCCAAAGGACGAGGTCATATAAAGGTTTGGTGGTGCCTCCCACCGAGAAAGCATCTGGCAAGTTCCCCCAACGATCAATTGTCAAACGCCTAGATACTCGAGCTTGATCAATGGACGTCAGTGCAACAATCAGCTTTACCGGGTTCGCTTCTATACCCGAGACGGCAGCGACATCCGAGCCGCCCAGATTGATAGTCATTCCCGGGCTTCCTGACTGTCTTCTACGATACCCCTTGACTGATCCATCATCCTGATAGCTATCCTGAGCATTAGATGGCCCCTGACACGTATAATCAAAGACATCCTGCACGACATTGGTCTCCAATCTTCAAGAATGCATCGGCAAACCCATGCCCACAGGTGTACAGTGTGCATGTGGCAATACTGCCTTCGTCTCTGAAGCCCTCAACTGCGCGGTGGCCTCTTGTGGTATAGGTCCAGTTGAAAGTAAGTGAAATCTCTCACCTGTGACCATTCCTGGGACGGTTATTGACGTGTCCATATAGCTTTGCTGAGCGAGGCAAGTGCGATATGCTCGAGCGTGTAAGTTGAGGCCCAACAATCAAGGAATAAGGCGTCAACTGAAGCGTGATATTAATGTGCCATCTAGGAGCAACGCACTACCTGCTACGATAGCTGTCGATTCGACAACATTTGATCTGGTATCACCAGGCTGGCAGGTTTCGTCTACAAATACACTCGAAATGACTGCTTCGACCTCAACGGCGGGTGTTGTACAATCCACCACTGCCTCAGGTGATGGAAACAGGACAACAGGGACATTGCCAGGTCGGTTGCAATTCATCGTGTTTGTTTGGCAATGCTCACTTTGTCAAGTAAATAAGCTGTCATATCTAGGTATTCTGAGCATCATCGGAAGACTTCAGATGTTTGTTGCATAGCATGTTGACGTCTTCCCTGGCACGTGACTCAGGGGTTCAGGGGGACTTCAGGGGATTATGGGGTTGGGGGGCTTATGGGGTTGGGGGGCTCAGGGGGTATGGCAGTGGGGTTAAACCAACGGTTGGCAGTTTGTACACCATGTTCAGCTACAGTTCCTCTATTATGCTATTCCATTATCTACATTGAGTTTATTGGGAAAGAGAGGTGTCTGCTTCCATCTTCTGCGTTTTACCCCTCGCGAGAGTGCCTCGCGCACTGCGATGATTGCATGCACCTTCAATCAATGAGCACTCTGGGATGCCTGCGGCCTTGGACTGCCGGGCGCAACACGTTGCTTTTCAGCTTCTGCTCCAGAGCATCGATGCATGTATCACTATCATCAGTGCACTTCGAGACGACCGACATGAAGTCAGCCAAAGCAATAAAAGCATCTGCGCGACAAACAAGGCCAGAATGGGACTGAAAGGACTATTTCGAATCGGGCGTCAGAAAGATGGAGTTGCGGCTTCATCGGGCAGTGCTGGAACGTTGTCGTTTTTGACCGCTTTTTTCTCTTCGTCCCACCCACAGCCCGAAACCCGAACAAATGAACATCGTCACAGCTTCAACCGCCACAAAGTCGACCGCCGACGAGCCGACACCTAACCAACCAACCGCCGAAGAGCCAACTCATCCAACAGAGATTTCTAGTCAAGCGGAGAACTCGATATCCCTTCAGTTGTGCAGTCGGGCCTACGAAAACATCATGGAAAAGGACGAAGAGCTGGTCGATGGGTATGAGGCTGTTGTGAGTGAGCAGGCACCAGTACAAGGATTCTCAGGAACAGTATTTGCACCTGGGGGACTTGCAGGAGCGTTGAAGGAACAAGCTCGTTTTGGTCTGCTTCTCTCCTCTGCGCAGCGATCCATTGCGAAGGCAACGAAGCAGGAGGACGCAAAGACGGTGGTGATCGATGCTGTTACATTCTTCAATGCCATAGGAGGCGCGGTCGGTCCTATAGCGGGGGCTTTCCCGCCTGCGGGGCTGGCATGGGCTGGTATTTGCGCTGTGCTTCCGGTATGTTGGAAACCACACACTCTGTGAGAGGCGTTGCCCAGGTTACACTGCAATGAAATTTGCCAACACTGGGGTGCGGGTTCTTGTCCAGCCACTCATGGCAGACGCAGAGATGGTGGAGGGCTTAAACTACATCATCTCTCGGATGGTGTGGTACATGAAACTATCCGAGGTTATTCTTGAAGGCAGCTGAGAGGATAACGCGATGATATCTGAGCTGCGAAAGACGCCCCAAGTCTCTATCATCGAGAATTACGCGACCTCGATGGAGTATGAGATGATGAGCGGGGCCTACTGTCTGAAGGATAGGCCTTTCACTCGACCTCTGAAGACATTGCTTGGCTTCAATAACTGGGAGGAACGCACCGATGCTATTAAACAGTTGGAAGGTGATTTCTCTCGTTGCAACTTACAATACGACAATCGAGAGATCGTTCAACAACTTCGGAACCAGCGGCGCGACCAGCTTCAACGCGATAAAAGCAGAGCGAAGGAGAATGCAGAGTAAGATTACAGGCGGTTTTAAAACAACGAGTTATGAAGAGCGGATGATGCTCAGTCCAGAGCGTATTCCCGGCACGTGCGAATGGTTTCAACGACATGAGAAATTTGAGCGATGGTTGAAAGAGCCGCGCGGGTTGTTGCTCGTGTCGGCCGACCCAGGATGTGGAAAATCTGTTGTCACGGCAACTGGCTCAAATATTCTCCCAGCTGAGCAGCCTGAGGCGACTGTTTGCTATTTTTTCTTCAGACACCCCAGAGCAACGAGGCTTAGATTCTACCGTCTGTTCTCTATTACATGGACTGTTTTACGAACATGGTGTGGTTGCTGATGACCTTGAAGGCAGCACTGAGGCTCAAGGTCGCAATCTTGTGTCAGATCCTACATCGCTTGCTTCTCTCTTTCAAGGAGCGGCTAGCCATAGCATGACCTGCCAGATCATCTGCGTAGTGGACGCGCTAGATGAATGTAACCCAGAACAACTCCACATTCTGGTAAAGCTTCTACGACGACTCCTGCCACCGCATGATGAGTTGAAGCCTGACAGACAACCGTCTGTAAAATTCCTACTCACAACAAGAGGCTACCTAAAGATTTTGGACCTATTCTGGGATTCCGACATGAGTTGTGTCCATCTTTCGGGGAACTCGAGGAATGAGAAAGATCAAATACAAAACGAAATTAAATTCGTCATTGACCATCGTCTAAGAACATTGGCAAAGAAACGCCGTGTGTCTGAGGAACGCCAGTTGGCCATTCGCGAGGCACTCGAGGATGTCGACGCACAACAGCGCACATATCTGTGGATTGGTTTAGTCTTCCAAGTGCTTGAGAAGAACTTCGACGACAGACCTCAAGCGCGGAGAAGCCTCAACAAGGAGACAACATCTACAGTGTTTTACGCATACGACAAACTGCTGCAATAGGTTCGGTCACAAGAGCTTCCACATTTCCGAGTTCTTTTCCACTTTATTCTTGCCGCATACCGAGCTCTCACAGCAATAAATACGTCGGAGGTTCCGCGACGGCATACGGAGTGGAATAACACTAAGTGCCCAAAAGAACAAGTGTTTCTGGCTTACTCTCTGTCAAACTGGTCACAACACGTGAGAAAGGCGGAGGAGGATGATCCAAAACGACCAACTCATCCTCGGTATTCATACTGGTATTTGGAGCTGTTCAGCCATCAGCCGCCCCTTTGCAACCCCGTCATCGCAGCAACTGTCCTCAGGATCCTGAATTATATGAAGATCTCGGTACCGATTTTCCTATCCCATGTTTCCGGCCACTAAGCCAACACCATTCAACGGTTACGCTGCGGTCTCAGCAGCTTCCATTGTGGTCTTTCTCAAACATCGCTTCCATTTACGAACCGTTCTACAACAAGAGGCCGACATAATGGCTGGACGGAGTGAGGAAGGCTTTGAAGCTGGGACGACAGAGGATTGTGAGAAAAGATGTGAGCACATCTCTGTGGCGCTACCAAGAAGGGATTGGTCCAAGCATTATTTTTTGCTGCAGCGATGAGGGATTTGGAGGCGCTCAGGATAGTGCTGTCCATGGACCCGGCTACGTTGCTATCAGCGAGGGATGGTCTTTGCAGGACCCCTTTGCACATAGTGGCCGAGAGAGGAGGCAGCGTGTCAATCTGGCGACGTGAATCCAACATCCCAGGTTACCTGAAAACAGTGGCTCAAATGGGTTTCGACATTCACGCAAATTGTGGTCTTGGCTGGACGGTTCTAGACCATCATACGAGCAAACTGTGGTCGCACATCGATCGTGGTCGGGGCTTCAGGTATCGTCGCTCACATTCCCACCGCGTTCTGAAAGATACCAAATACCTCGTCGTCGGCGGTGTAGCTTGTCACCGGCCAAATACGCACAGGCTGGACCCGCTGGATGTGGCAGCACTATTGGAGACTCACTTGCGGTTCCGTGAGTATCCAGCAGAGCCGTTTGAGCCAGACTTCAATTTCAAAGCACTCAAGGACTCCAAAGTATTGATTGATGCTATTGGAAAGAGCTCGATAAAGTTTCTGCGTGATCATGGTAGCGATCTATCGAACAGTGGAGCTCTATGGACTGCAATTCAGCACAGAGTGTTTTGGAGTCTGGTTTTCCTCCTGATGGCCGGTGCGGACGTCACCAAGAGAACCTTTGCTCGCACTCCATTAGAATACACTATTGAGAAGGTGATAGACTGGCTTGGGTCAGTAAATGACTCAATCATCCGTGTCTTGCTTGACTTTGGAGCCGATATCGACGCCATGACATATGATCAGGAGCTGCCATCACTTCGTGCTCCTTTACTGCATCAAGTTATTCGGAAGCATTTGGTAGAGTCACGCTCACGATGGCCTTGGGGAAACGCCCAGTCTATCCTGGATTTGCTCCTTAGGAGAGGCCCACACGTCAACTTGGCAGACTTGGCCGGAAATGTACCACCTCACATTGCCTGCGAGATTTATACTGAGGGGTCAGAAACGGCTTCTTCAACAAGTCCACCAATGAGCCGCCTCTCTTCAAGCAGTTCAATGTCGGACTTGTCGCTAGATAGTACGGAGAAGTTGAGGTTTGGCGGTATCACTCGAAAGCGTCTATTTCAAAAGCTGTTGGCACATGGTGCAATAATCGACGCACGAAACCAAAAGGGTGAAACTCCCCTGCTGATGGCCTGTAGGAAGGATTGTTGTTTGCTGGAAGCCATTCGTTTCCTTTGCAGCAGGGTTCTGATGTGCGCGCTCGCGATCAACGGGATCGATCTTGTGTTGATGTGGTGAAAGAAAGTTCTGAGGGTTGTTGGTGCATGAGCGTACGGTCTTATAAAACTGTAGTTGCAGCCAAAAATGCTGTACTCGAAGTTCTTCAGGAGTGTCCAGACCGGACTGGAGGCATGATCTCCTAATATGTCTGACGTACAGGTCGTCAAACTCAAAGATTCACAAGATCTCGGCCGGCCATGCACCGCTGCTCCCGAACCAAGTTTCGATCCCTGTCGATAACCTCGGGAAGCAAACTTTAGCCTACTACCTTACCCTGATGGAGCTGCCTCCTCCACCGTCCGCCTCTCCATGGCAACATCACCTCGTGTTTTCAAGACATTCGGCTGTTCGGGGTGGTATTCCGCATCTTCTCCCTCCGCCCTCCTGCATTCGGGACCTCCACTTTACCCCTTGCTCAGCATGAATCCACCAATCATCTTACACCCTTCCCACAGCCGAACACGTGCGATGGAGTGTTTTTACCACCATGAGCCCGGCGAGCCGGAACCAGGCCATATTTGGGATAATGACAGGGCGGGAAAGAGTTAATATAAGGTGCGATCTCCCGTTGTTGCTTTGATCAGGATGCTGTTGTTCTCCAGCTGATCTCATCTCAGTTCGAGCCTCATCTTCTCTGTCCCCTGTTGAGAACCGAAGAAATAATGGGTGGTCAAATTGTCAAGGCCGGTTTGGTGGCTCTGTTGAGTGCGGCGCCCGGGTTAGCTGCGGTTACTAGACGTCAAAACGCTGTGAATCTTTGGGGACAGTGTGGTGGGATTGGATATCAGGGGTCGAAGGTGTGCGTTTCTGGTGCTGTTTGCACGGCTTACAACGACTGGTATCGTACGTCTCCCAATCCTGTTCCTGACAACAGATAGCTCTCATAGCATTGTGACTGACAACCATCAAGACCAGTGTGTGCCAGGCTCTCAGACAATAAGCACCACTGCCGCCCCGACAGTCGTCCCTACCACCAGCACCAGCACCAGCTCTGTCCAGTCGACCAGCACAAGTGCCGCCCCATCCTCCAGCCCAACCTCCGCCGCCAAGTACTTCATCAACTTGTAAGCCCCTCCATGTTGTCCCTGTTGCCTCCTTTCAGCTCGATGGAGATTAACACCACCCCTCAGCGGCGACTCCTACTCCCAAACAGGCTTCGACCCCCTCTCCACCAAACCCTCCCCCTCCAACCCCTTTGGCAACCCACCCCTCCCCGGCTGGACAGCCTCCGGCGGCCTAAACTGGGTTGGCTTCCTCACCTCCCAGTACAACGCCTCCACCCTCCTCACCTACAACTTCGCCTACGGCGGCGCCACCACCAACGCCAGCCTCGTCCAGCCCTGGAGAGAGGACGTCCTGAGCTTGATCGACCAAGTCCAGCAGTTCACCGACACCATCGCCTCCAAGCCATCCTACGCCCCCTGGACAGCAGAGAACGCTCTCTTCGGCATCTGGATTGGCGTGAACGACGTGGGGAACAGCTGGTGGAAGGAGGAGTATGACCAGCTGCTGAGCGAGATTATGGATACGTATTTTGGGCAGCTGCAGGTGTTGTATGATGCGGGGGCGAGGCAGTTTGTTGCTTTGGGTGTGCCGCGTAAGCTTTCCTTTTTCCTGTTCCTTCGGAGAATTTCGTGCTGACTTTATGAAAAGCGATTCATCGCACTCCTGTCATGGTCGAGGAGACAGAGTGGGCTCAGGAAACCGAGGCTGCCGCTATCGCCAAGTACAACGCTGCTATCGCTTCCCGGGCCGCGACTTTTCAGGCGGCGAATGCTGGGTCGGTGATCAAGATTGTCGACACGGGGGTTGCGTTCAATGAGGCGTTGGATAACCCGACTGAGTATGGCTCGCCGGATGCCAAGTGCTGGAATGGGGATGGGGTTTCGTGCTTGTGGTTTAATGATTACCACCCGGGGATTGAGATTAACCGGTTGGTTGCTGAGGAGGTGGCTGAGGCTTGGGATGGAAGCTTCTTTGAAGGGAAGGTTTGCATCGAGTAGGGTGTAATGAAGGTATATTAATGACATGAGACGTGTACATATCATCTGCTGGGTACATATACTGGGAGGCATCGTGACTCGCGTTGTTCTCCGTTTAGCCCAACCACAAGATTTTGTCAAAATATGAATCGGCCCATAACAGTTCCTTGCAAGGCACCTCGACGGGATAAATATCGAGGCTATCACTTTGGGGAAACCCCAATATCGTAAAGTAGCTGCTCCATCCAGGCAAGTGATGTGAAATAAATAATGACCGCCAACCATGCAATGGGTGCCATCAACACTAAGCCAAGTGCCACAGAGCCGCTGATGGCGATCAACTTGGGGGAAGAACTCTGATGTCCCTCGCCGCCCATCCAGAGCAGAGAGGTTCCAGTTGACTCCCGTCGGTTGAGGTCAGTTTGTCCATTGTGGCTTCGAGAGAGTTGAAACGAGTTGAAGATGTTCTTTTAGTGTGAGGGGTAAACAGGCCGCGTCAAGTTTAGCATCGCGAGGTTCGAATCATTGGCTTAGCGGGTTGGTGAGGTTGAGTTCTCTTCCACTCGATTGGATGGGATGTTGCCTGGAAGTGTGATTTGACCATGGGGAGGCTGTCTTAACCAAGACTTCATGAAAAGACGACATTGGCCGTGATCTGATAGTGCGATCGTTGCGGTGGTGCGGCTGTGAAAGCTTTCACCAGCTGCAAAGAGATCATAACACGTAAGTGTCACGTGGCAAACGACTTGGAGGACGGCTAGGCATTAGTACGGCCTGGATCAACAACACGGACCGTGCTAAGACAGCGAGAATAACGGCAGCCAACACCAGAACCAGATTGTCGATCCGGAGGCTGTTGCCGTTGCACTCCACTGTTGGGTTGGACCCCTGCCATCTCACCTCAGCTAACAGAACGTGAGACTCGGGAAGCAGATCCGGACCTGTCGCGTTGCTGACTGGAGGCCACCCTGATATCCGTGCTAATCTAGGATCAAATATAGGATGCGATAGTACCAGCTAGGCGGAAGCACTAGCGTCTAGGGGAGCTCGGGAGATCATCTTGGACCCTGAATAGTGGATCATGATCCTGGATCTCATCTGAATCACCCCAACTTCATGACTGCCGATCGCTTGACGGGTCGCCGAAGGATCGGGGGGGCTTCCGCGCTTTTGGAGGCGCACATGGTAACGCAGGGACAGTGATTTACATTTCCGAGCAGCGCTGACACTGTCCCCAGAATGAGGAGGGGCGGGCGATACAAGGATCGGGGAAAACAAGAAGGTAATGAAGAAAGAACGTTGATCATGCCGCGATGATCGATATAATTCCAAA